ACTGGCCTAATGTACTGTATATACCTCCATCTGTTTGTTAAACAGTAAACTACAGGATTTGTTCACGTCTTTAAAAATGCAGCCTTTGTTAAGTTGCTACCAGAGTTGGGACACTTGTTGGCAAAGACCAGACCCCTGCTGGCAGCCGAAAGCCCCCCTGCTTAGCTGAGAGTTAAACACACCTCCACCGAACTTAACATTTATACACAGTAACAAATCCATGGTCTAAAACTCCTCCACATGAAGACCACACGTCTTGTTAAGGTTGAGGGGCATTCACAGATGTACAGTGAGACGCCCCCCCCCCCCCCACACACACCCCACACACCACACACACACACACCAACAGCCACACAAACACACACTTGACAGGGAAAACAACAGGACTTGGTGGCAGAAGGAGCAGCTGCTCACTGAGGTCAGATTACAGATAAAGAAAACATTTTAGGTTCCAGGCCAGGAAAGCTGCTCTCTGACAAGAGCTTGAAATGCTGCCTTATTCCTCCTGACACACAGAAACGCACACTGATGCATTTACAGAAAATGCACGTTCAACCGTATTACTGCCGCTCAACTCAGAGGATAAACTGAAGGCGATGAGCTGGCCAGAGTGTCTGCCTGTCTGCTCAAAGTTTGCCGCCGACACCAATGCCTTCCCTCGGAATCATGAAAGCACGAGCCCCATCTCCAAAAAATCAGAGTCACCACCCTCCCCTCTCCCTCCTGTGTCTGTGTTTGGCCCTAATAAATTCTCTCCAGCTCCTCCAATAACTTCCTCCTACTTCCTATCTGGCACGGCGCTCAGGAAACAATCAGAGCTGAGAGTGAGGAGGAGGGCTGGACAGCCAACAGCTCACACGGCAAGAGGCAGAAAGAGAGGCAGAGGGAAAAGTTGAGACAAACACACACACACACCACATGCACCCCTTGTCAAGTCAAACATTTGCAGTTTGATACCAGCTGCATGCCCAAGAAAAACAATAAGAGAATAATGTCTCGCATGCAAGACTGGAAATGTGTGAAAATGATCCGAGCTGGAAGAGTCGGACATGCATTTTTCAAACATTTACACCATAAAACTCACCACAACTGATTCTTATTTGTTGTTTTCTTGTAAACAAATCACACAGCATGGAAACAGGCTAACTAACTCTGAGGTAAGAGTCACAGAGAGACAGATAAATGAGTATGACACATCGAGCCAGAACATGAACATAAGGTGGTATTCATTCATTCATTGTTCTATTTTAACACTGGATGCTGCTGCCTATGTGGTCTACCTTGAATTGTAACACTTTCAGAGAATTAAGCCTAAATCCAGCTGAAGAGGGAAAGACTGACACAAAACAGGGCAAGCGCGCCAGAGAGCTTTTTTTTTTACAGCCTGAATCAGCATTTTAATCGGAAATTTTCCAGGGAACGTAGCGGAGAAGCCATTCTAGCCTGAATTGGTCATTTTGTGGTGAGGGGAGCGGTTTAAAGCCATAATCTGTGAAACCTTTAAGACATGCATAACTTTGCAGCAGAATGCACCAGCCAATAACTCATCTAACCATCTAAATTGTGGAACAAGGCATTAAAAGCAGCCATGGCTTTGATCAGGGCTGTATAGAGGGGATTTTCACAAGGAAAAACTATGATTAGACATTAGACAAAGCTGAACCATGGACAAAACTTGTAGCTCAATTCATGTGAGTACATATACTCATAAAGGCCTGATCGCCCTCAAAATCACCCGAACACCTGTGTTGTTTTATACCAGGAGCAACCAAAGCGAGTAAGTCTGTGCTGCAGAAGGAGATCATCCCCCAACCTAAAACACTCTGAGCGCAGGGATTAAAGGGGTTTCACATGAGTGCCCTTGGGTCACTGGAGCTCCAGTGCGACACACAGGCCTCACACACACACGTCGCTGAAACACCAGACAAGCCCAGTGTGAGAGAGAGCCTCCTGTTATCTAGAATGGAGGCTGGAGGAGTCACAGACACTGGCACACATAACCCAACAGACATTTTTTTTTATGACCTCTTCCTCTTCGGAGTACATTTATATGTAACGTCACTCCTAACAGTTGGTCGCCGGAGAAAGAACAACTAAAACGTTTAGCAACTTGGGGACAGCTGACACAAAGACTATACTGTTCTAGGCCACTCCCCGGCTCCTCCCCTGAGTGGTCCGAATAGGAGGCCAGGAAGCTTATCTGTTAAAACCTCATGGTTTGGAGGATATGTAAACATGTGCAGTGCATTAACGTGAATACAATGTTGATAAATTGTGTTACTGGGGACTTTGAGAGTAAAGTAACTGGTATATCTTAAACAATAACATTTGATTACTTTGGTTGGTGTTAGAGCATGTGACGCTAGAAATTTTGCATTTATTTCTTTTGTTGTATCACTGTGATAAATAGCTCAAAACACAACACGCTCTTCATCAGCAGTCTTTAACCCAACTGCTACTAGTTGGACAGCACATTGTATTCCAGATTGTCATTAATGCCCTTCTGCTGAGAGCTGCTGGCTTTTCTCTGAGGCCCTCTGTGTGCTCACCACGCAGACATAAGTGGTATTTGTTCAGATCTGGGTTGACAGAGGGGCAAGTGTCCACCATTTGGACGAGCACTTCTGGGGATGGTGCTAAAAAGCAAACCAACGTCTGCACAAATGGGCAAAAGCTCATTAGCCGTTCTTCTGTGGGTTTAACACAAACGGGCGAAGCTGCCGCTGACAAACGGTCAACAGACCTGCACCCAAGTAAACACTCTGCAGAGCAAAGAAAGGATGCACTTCAGCTCTGGAATCAGCCACAAATGATTTGAAATGCCTACAGTGTCTCCACAGTTTAAAAATCAAAACCATCAGAGGGACTACAGACTTTTTTAACCCTCATGAAGTGAACACATGCTCATTAACTCTTCCCTCTGATAAACGGCCCCAAGGAACACAGCTGGGGAGTAAAAAGAGAGAAAACAGCCACTTTAAGAGAATATTACCCCAAGCAATCTAATTGACCTCCACGACATGGGTGAAGTTGTAAAACTTTCCCCTCACATTTAACTCTCACACAAGCACACAGCGCAGCGTACATGCTAAATCCACAACGGCTGAGAAACATAAAGTATGTTCAAGGAAAAAAAAGACCACATTGTACATTGGGAGGCCTGATGCATTCATGCTGCATAAAAACAATGAAGCGGAATCTGTCGGAGCAGCAGAATGCTTAATCCTTTCCAGATTTACCCATCAGCATCTAAATCTATTATTAGGCATCTTGGCGTGTCTCATTTACCAAGGACACATTGTTTGGTTGTACTGGTTGGTCGTTTCATTTTCAGAACATCATTTCCACATGTTAATAGAAAGTAGGTCTTAGGAAGGGTTCAAACTGACGATTTAGCTGCTGAACCATGACCTAACACAACCAACAGGAAGAGAAAACTTGACATACGTTATTTGATTATCTTCTGTATCAGTGTTGCATCAAAAGATTGTAGCTCGAGCAGACACTGCATGACTTCAAAGACCCCCCCCCCCCACCAAAATCGTCGTATTTAAATTCACACCCATAGATTAAAGACTGAGCAGTAAAAACGGTTGCCCTGTTTCAGAGCTAGTTTCCCCCACAAACTTGGAGAAAATATAAAAAAATATATATATATTGTAAAAAATATTACATTTTATAACTTTAAGGAATGCTGCTGCAGTTAAAGAAACAAATAGTATGAGACAGACAACAGACAAGCAGAACTGTTAACAGGTTATTCTGCTTACTGTGACCAACCTGACAGACTGCATTCTGTTGTTTAGTCAAACCTGTTGACTGGCAGTGATTTAACTCTGCAGCTCATATGACTGTACAAATTTAGCATGAAGGAGGTGCTAACATGTCCTTTTTACATTTTGTAATCAGCTAATAGGAAAAAAAAGAGTTTACCCGAGCCAGATATAACAACACAGACTGAGAGCAGGTGTAGCCTGAGGTGGCCTGCATATAATTATACAATTAGCTCGCATACATATCCATGCATCTCAAATCCTCACCTGTGAATTATGTACTTAGTGGGACTTTGCAGAGTATCATCACATGCCTGTTTGTTGGCACAGAAGAAAGAAGTAAAAAGGAAATAAAGAAAGTAAATAAAGATGGTTTCTATTTATTTTAAAAATTAGATAAGATAGATTGTTATAATTTTGTTTAAAATTCTAAATATAAATGATAATATGACGTAATTACAACCAAAACAAAAGTTATTATATATGTAAAAATCCAGATACTATTTATCCATGCCACTGGAATTATGCCTTGTGCCTAATTCTAGGTGCGCACTCAACACAAACCCCAGTTCTTTCTACACAGATTGTATCAGCAATCTAAAGTAGTCACTTCTTTCTTATGGGTTCAGAATTTCTTCTTAATGGACAAAAGTAAAAAAAAAAAAACAGAAATAAAATCATGCTGCCTTTTTTTGTGATAATAAATAATGCAGAAGGTTTGCTATTTATAAAAAAAAAAGGCATAATAGCAATAATGTAACAGAAGTGTAGTTCCATGTTGGTACATCTGTCATTTGTTTATATATATATTGTTGTTTATCTCTATGTACATGTTGTGTGTTCATAAATAAAGTCTTTTTTTATTGAAAAGTGAAGATCAGATGTGTGAAAAAAGTATTCATTGCTAGTCTAAAACTTTGTGCAAACAATGGTAAAATTGGAATATTCTTAACTAATAAGTGTCTTAATAAACTCTTTAAAAGAGATCAAAAATTGTAAATGTATGTACTTTATTATTAAATCCTATCATTGCAAGAGAAAAACAAGTACATGTAGCCAACTCTTGACACAGAGATTATTTCACGAGAATTGTATTTATTTCCTTAAACAAACAAACTGTTTTGTATTTTTCCTGTTTTGTCTAACAAATTCACGTCTAGTGTTGAACTAGCAGGAGTGCGTGTCTTCATTTGACTATGCTGACAAATCAAGAACTTCTTCTCCTACCTTTGGGATGCAGAGGTCCAAACCAGACTGAAGTTGTGTATTCCTCCAAATCGTTTTTTGTTTGTCTCTCTCTCTGCGCCTGTAGGTATAACTGTTGGATTCCTCTTGAGGAACGAGGTTGGATCCAGGTAGGAACTGTGCGAGACAGAAAACAAACATATTGGCCCACTTCTCTGCTGTCAAGAGAAAGGCTTTTGGGGCTTTTTTCTTTTCTTTTTTGTAAAAGTGTGTGTCAATGAGCGGGCTACCGGTGGAAATATGATTGTACAGAGCCTGTCAAAGATATCCCTGCACACTGGGAAAGTCAAACACAATAGACTATCAATCTGCAAATGTTTTCTTCCCTCCCAACGCGAGGAGCTCCACGGAAAAATGTAAAAAATGACAATGATCTGAAAACTTCACCGAGACAAGCGGCATGAAAAAACTCCCCAGAAAAAGGAGCTCTAAACAGAAAGAAGGAACATTACTGCAGAACTTACCTTTTTTTTTATTATTCTGGCAGTCACCTTCTTCTTCTCAATGAGAGCAGCTGGTCAGTTTACTTAGTTTCTTATAATTTGGCGCCTTGTTGTTTTCCGTAATATTTCTCAGAGGTTTGACAGTATAAGTGGAATGTTAAGTATGACTTTGGTATGAAATCAACGCACTACACTGGAAAACGAAGGGGGAGGGAAAAAAAGACTTTCAAGGAGGAGCCATTGGTGCGCGTCAATCAACAAGTTTGGGGGGCAGTGACTTCACTCCAGGCTCCGCCCACCAAATCCTGCACACTGAGCTGCAGCTTCCTGTCCTGAAAAACCAGTCTCTGGCAATACACATGCACCAATATATCCCCATTAGATTTAGAAATGTAAAAAAAAAGTGTAGATATATATATATATATTTTTTTTTACACTGTGCAGCCAAACATTTGTTCAAACTTCCCCAAATACGTCAGGCTGAATTTGGAGGACTGTGTATGAAATGCAGTGGTGGAAGAATTGAAATAAAGTATTAATAACACAGTGTTCTACTATCAATAATGTCCACAAGGCCAGGGCTAAAGTTGCCTCACATTGTGCAATATGTTTTTATTTTATCACATGGACCACTCTTTACTGGCCAGCAGGCTTACATAAGCAGCAGGCTACATGCAAGATGCTGTAGCCTGTAGCGTCATATAAGGCAATATTGTATGATTGCATGATGCACATGTAACAAGCTGGGCATTGTTCTGAAGCATAAGTCGAGATTTTTATTCACAAGCCATCCTATTCATTTTCAGGTTAGAGCAACAGCCCCTCAAAATGTCTGCACGTCCCTGATTACCATTACAAGTACACCTAAGTAAAAGTACAGAGGTATTATCAACAAACTTTATTATGTGGAACTTATATATGACTATACATATATAATGTGTGTATAATATAAAACAAAATAAATAACATAAATATAAAATATATATGATACTAGGTTATTTGTATTGATGCATATACTGCAGCCAGTCAACATGAAGTTCATTTTAGTTACTTTACATTTTACCGGTTAGTTTAATCCGTAACACATTTCATATTTTATAAGCTCATGTTTTGTATGAGTTTACTGTAGGATATATATATAAATATAACACATACTGTAATTTAGTTGTATTGGGTATATTTGTGTAGCATCGCTGTTCTAATTATACACTTGTGTAGTAGTTAGTTGGATGAATACTTAGTTATTAAACAAAAAAAATCTGCCAATCAGACATGATCAGACTTTGAATAACTGAAATAAAAAATAAAATAAAAAAACATGTGCCCCTTACTACTGCTTTTTTCCTTCTGTTAGTGCTAATTTATTGGAGCAAAATCGTTTACCTATTGAGAATGGGCATATCACTATAAACAATATGAACCTTGAACAAATTTCCTTCCAGCAACAGCTCCTTCTGTTGGTCAACAACATGGTTGCAACATGTTAACAGTATTTATTTATCCACCACTGAGACACAAAAGCAGAGGATATGCAGATGGTGTAAAAATACATAAATGCACTAATTGCATTAGCATTTAAGAATGACATCACTAGTCTTTGCTGGTTGTTTAGCTGGAAGTCACGTAACAGAAAGAGACAATGGGAGAGTGGGTGAGGAAGAACTCACCTTACTGCATCTGTCCAGAAGAGCTGCCAGCTTCAGGCTTCATTTAATCTGCGAGTTTGGACAACTGCCTGAGCAGGTTCAGGCAGAATACACACCTCACACTTACTCTCGAGGCCCTCGGCTCAAACAGGTTTTTCATCCTGAGCGAAGCTCCCTTAAACATGTTAGGCAACTACTAGAGAACAGTGTGGGTGTCTCTCTGCAACCAGAAGGAACCTTTCTGATTACCTGCCAGCTGCCAGCTCATACAGTATAGGGCTTCAAACAGGGATTTACTCTTTGTAAAGTAGTTTGTCATTTCAAGAGTAGGATAGTGACAGTGAAGGACATGCAGGGAGAGAGGGGGGCAGAGTGAAAAGCATGTTGTTGTTATCTATTCACCACATGGCTACTGGACACCCAAAACCCATGAATTATTATCATTGGAATATTGAAGTGTTTTGGGCCACAGCCACTAAACAGTTACTAAATGAGGTGTGTTTATACAAAACATGTGGACTTAAAGGAAGTTAATTCACATGCTTTATTAAATAACATTATTACAACAGGCCTAGAAATGCAACAAAGGCAGTGTTCGGAAAAATAAATTAATTTTACAAAATGTTAAAACCCCAAAAAACACGAAATAGAAAAACCTACAGGAGCTCAAATCAGACTCAGTCATCTGAGATGGACAGAGAGATCTTCAGAGAAATAAAACAGAATATTTTGTCGAAACATCACATGTTAACTAGATAGCAAGAACTAAAGCCTCCCCTATTCCAAAATGTTACACTTGTTACTCTAACAATGCCTGATACCTTTATGCTTCCAAATCACTAAAATATGGACTGTTATGTAATACAGACTTAATACCTGTTGTCTGTCAAATAAAAGCAATTTTCTTTATTTTTAAGCTATCAGTTATTCTGTGAGTGTGTTTTTGAGATTGTGTACTTCACATTATGACCTTCTGGTATTTTAAACACAGACCACTACACACCAGTACAATACAATGCAGCACAACAAACCCAAAACACAGTTTAACATCTTTTAATGGTGCTGGAAATATTTAAACACCTTAATCATCCAGGTGTACCATCATTCCCTCCTTTAAAGTGCGTCTCCCTGGGATCCACAGATATTCCTCTGGATTACAGAAACAAATACCAGGACTCTTCTGTGCCATGCCAGATCTGATGATAATATGAGACCAACTTTGTTTCTTACTCCTGGAGTGAATCACATGCCCATAAAGGCAACAGCGTAACAGCAGGTATTGTTACATTCAAGGAACCGTCATTCGTTATCGCCATCGATCACAGGAAGTGTTGAGGGCGAGTCCAAAGAAAAGAGTTGTTCTGTTGTGAGCGTGGGCGTGCCGCATACTGGTTTCAGTGTGAGAAGACAACTGGGGATCTCTCTGTTATTCACAGGCAATTTTGCCATCAAAGCTGGAGAGCGCGATGGCAAAGGCCTGCACGGCACACATCGGGTAGTTGAAGTCCAGCGTGAAAATGTCATCAGCTATTCGGCCAAACTGCATCACAATGTAGTCCACTGAAAAAGGGAAGGAATTGTTAAATTATGTAGGTCAGTAGATACATATATAAATAATAAACATTCATTTCTTTTAACCTACTACAAGGAGTTTTTTAACTGGTTATAAAACAGTCTAAATTTAATACTGATACACAACATTGTTTATTAATTGGTTGATCACCAGAGTCAGTAGGATTTGTACTCTAGGGAAAACATATGTCTGTACAAAAGTTCATGGAGATCCTTTCACAGTTTTTGAGATTTTCAGTCTGGACCAAAGTGTTGGACTGAACATTGCCATCCGTAGAGCCATGCTGCTAGCGTCATTTAAAATCATTTACCAGCACATTGAACATTTTGTTACTATCTCTTGTGCTGTACTACCAAGGCTAGAACTAATAACCCTAACCTGACAAAAACTTCTTTTTCAAGCAGCTTTCAGTCACTTACATGTAATTGGGTCATAATTTCTTCTGATTAGACTAAAGTAGATAATATTGAACATGTTCATGTACTGTTTTGATGTAACAGAAATCATTTTTAGTAAGTATTTAGTTTCATGTTTTAGTCTAAAACTGTAGCATTACGCAAACAATGATACAAATTAGGATGCTTTATTAATGAGTGTCTTAGGAAATAGGGTTTTTAAATGTAAACCCGTGTCAGAGAAAACTAAACAGATAGTACATCCAACTAAATGATCTTTGTTGTTTTACAAGGTTTTATTTCTTTGTGAATTTTGCAGTAAACTGCTTTGTATTTATTTGTCTAGTAACTTAACATCAACTGTAGTTGAGATCAAATAGAAGAGCTTCATAGATAGATAGATAGAAACTGTAGATGTTAGTACTCACAGTCTTTACTATGGACTATCTGGAAGTTTTTAATGGAGGCCTGGGTGACCCTGCCGTTGAAGTTGAGCACATGAGAGGAAGTTTCTTCGTTCCACACAGGCGTCTTGTTATGAAGCTCGATTATATTGTCCATCCTTCTACTCTGGTACCTTATCAACAAGCCGTCACAGTCCTGTGAAGAATTGACAAAACATATGTCAGGAAAACACCACGAAAGAGTAATCAGACTTTATAAGTTGGCCTTGTGTTGCTCTCATAATAAACAGACAACATACTATAAATCAGGCTGTGATCAGTATGCATATAATTTGTTGACATTGTGCATAGCAATGGATTCTGGGATGCCTGATTTTGCTAATGAGTCATCTGAGGGTTGCACACACATGAATCAACAGGTCAAATTATCCACAGCTGGAGGTGCCTACTTGATAATCCAATGTATACACCTTATTAAATTACACTGTTTTAGCTAAAAGCTAAAAATAAACAAGCATGACAGATAAATGCAAACATGTTTTGGGGGAATTTTGGATGAACTGACCGTTTAATAACACAGGAAATACAACAGTATGAGTAGCTATGCACACTGGGCATGTGAAGATTTCTTTTTTTAAATCCTGTTTTCTTTTCTTTTTCATTATACTTTTTTCTTTTTGTCTGCAACTATATTAACATGACCAAGGTTGGACTTTTGGAGTAGTTTTTTGTGTGGTTGCATTTATAAGGGCACGAAACCCCTTATTTTGTATTAACTTATGTTGTATGTATTCTGTATTTTATTCCACTTATTTTGCAGTCCTTATGTTCTTCTCAAAGCTGGAAAAAAAAACATTTATCTCACATTTCTTGGGCGGAGAGGTACTCGCTCGTTGTCCTTGCTCATTCCTGGAATGAGAACCGTCATCCTTCTGGGCCCTTTCATCCCTAAGACATTTGTTTCCTAGTGCCAGAAACAAGTAAAATCAGGATTTCCAAATTTGTTTTTAAATCAAACGTGCCCAGATACAGTATTCATGAAAAGCAATGTAGATCATTTATAATGAGCTGACTAATAACTTACATAGATGATGCCTGCTAACTCCTGTCGTGCATTAGACATGTCTGGAAGAGCTCTGTCTGGATGCAGAGCATTGTCAAATACGGTGAACTTAGTCCCCATTAAATTGGACCTAGACAACATATTGCATAATTAAAAACTCACAGTAAACAAACACTTGGCTAATGCGACACATTTTGTTTTGTGCTTTTAAATAAATGAATCCATTATTTTTGAAGCGCAGTGTACCTCAGTTTTCCAACAAAGTTCTCTCCCCCTCTTGATAAATCTGTGGCATCAATGGAGATGAGATAATTTGAAGTAGCGCTTTTCTTCCGTTTCCTCCCAGCCAACAAGAATGTCTGCACAGCAAAAAAAAAAGACAAGTAGTCCTGTTAGATTTAAAGAGAGGACGCTAATGTACACAAATCCCTAAAAATGTCAATTATAGTACTAATTAGACTAATTTAATTAATGGAACTACTGATGGCTCTATTTCACTTCCCTACTAATGGTGTGTTTGTTTTTGTTTGAGTCTGAACCTGGACACTCGATACATGAAGACATAAATGGAGCAAGGCCTGTCAACTCGAGCTGCACTGCTATACACACATGACATGCCTCACTCTCCATAATTACAAACCAAGCACACACTTCCAATACTCCAAAATTTCCCAGCTCTCCCTCTGCCCTGTCAATGCCGCTGCTGCTCTGCATCCGTATGGCTGCCCTGTTGTTCTGTAAGCCCCACCACCACCCCAGCATCCACCTGTAGGCTCCAGCTTGTGGGTTTAAGGTATTTGCTCATCACTCCCCAATATCTCTATGTAAACATACTTGCGGGGAGCGATGAGGTCAGAGCCTAGACTCCAAAATTTAACTGTTATACTGCTGTAATCAATATTTCAAATGTGAGTTGTCTGACTGAACTGTTGCTCTGTTTTAAAAACATATGGATAAAAATATCTACTAAATCCCCAAACTGCAATAAAGATAGACCTGACCTTTTTTTCGTTGTCGAGATGAAGGTAATATAGAGGGTAGAGGCTCTTATCCACCCCCCTCTGGTCTCGAGTCACTCTGCATTTGATGGTCACGCCCTGTGGAGCCGGCTGCATCACAAACTTCTCCAAGTCGTCAAACTCAATCTCAGGTGAAGGAGATCTCTCCTGGTAAAGAAGGATGAAAAAGTTCATTTTGATTGAAACCATGAATGTTTAACTTGAAATGTCTGTGTGGGATTTGAGATACCTTTTTCTTTTTCCCTTTGCCCTTTTTCTTCTTTGATTTTTCTTCCTTTTCTGACTCATCTGAATCATCGCTGTCTTCTGCCTTTCCTAAGATAGAAAACAAAAATTGTTAAGATACTTGTCAGTGGTTCAAAAGGAAGACAAGGTAGTGGTAAACCTGCCTTTCTTCTTCGTCTTCTTGTCTTTGCCCTTGTCTTTGTCTTTGTCTTTGTCTTTGCCCTTGTCTTTGTCCTTGTCTTTGTCCTTGTCCTTGTCTATTTGGAACATGGATGCTGAGCCAGCCGTGGATTTCTTTTTTGATTTGGTTGACTTCGTCTCCTCTTCACTCTCATCACTGTCTGATTTGGCAGCTGCTCAGGAAAAGAGGTATAAATAGTTTTGATTTAAATTCCTACATGTGTAAGAATTCTCACTAAGCAATAACACCACAGTTTATGGTCTAAAATAAGGCCAACATTAGCATCAAGACACATACTGTACTGTAAAGTCAGCTATGATGTGAGGTCTCATTTGCAATGGCTTATGGGCAAACCACAAGGTTTTAAGGTGTGACAAAATCAAAATGTAATCACCTTTCTTCTTGCTCTTTGATTCTTTTTCTCCATTTATCTGGAACATTGAGGCTGGTTCTTTCTTCTTGTCCTTATCCTTTGATTTGGACTTTTTTTCTTTGCCATCAGAGTCTTTGTCCTCTGAAAAATGAGAAACAAGTTAAAATACTAAAATGTTATCTGTCCTTGAATGTGATACCAAACTGGAGAATAGTGTGAGCACACACTGAGGAATTCAATCATTTTCAAAGCCAAATAACATACATTTCATTCCTTTTTGAATTAGTTGACTTGGACAGAAGTAGTGAGAAGTAGTCGTAGTAAAGTGGTGTCAGTTAATCAGCAAGTAAGGATTTGAAACAGGGACAGATTTGTAAGAGCAGAACAAATTTTGAGCATGCAATCCTGATTTTGTGTCCTCAGTTTGGAATTTGCTCTCACTGTTTCTTCCAGTCATTTTTGTCGAGTTCTAAACATGAGTGGGATTCATGTTTCACCAAGACCCGGCCATATGTGGCTGCTAGGTTCATGTTTGTGTCATGGCTTTTACGGTTAAGTTTTTAAGTAAAAAGCGGATAAAGCACACTGAGGAGGTAGACTGACATTACTTGCAGATATTTGCCCACCTCTCAGTCGGAGCTGACATGCAAGAGATACAAACCACTAAAACCGAAGGTAGATACCTTGTAAAATATTTAGGCAAAAGATGCCAAATTCCTCAAATCTAGCGGCACAAGACTTGTAACCTCAAAACCTCGATTACATTCTTGATACTGTCAACACTCACTCTTAAAACTTGTTGCACAAAGATGAATCAGTCCCAGCACGCTCTCATATCTCGACTTGCTGACTGATTACTGCTAAAAGGTGTCCGTGTTTTGGCATTAATGAACTTCAGGAATTGAAAGTATGTGGTTAAAAACCTGCTTAGGTAAGCACTTTAGAATTGTACTCAATTCTCAAAATATGACTAGTCACTTATAAGGATGGCTTTGACAGGTTGGTCTAAATGTTAATAAGTGTGACTAAAGATTAATTTGTGTGTCTGACCATGCAGACTTTTATTTTAGTTTTACATCTAACATAAAATATCTGTGTCATTAGCTGCTAAATGATCCATTATGTTCTCCAACTAGTTGCTAAATTTGTCTGTCTGCTGTTTGGTGCTGGGCAAAAAAAAAAAAATAGCTGCCTGATGCAGCCCAAAATGATATTACCAGACCCGTGAGAGTGGACCAAAAGTCTGTTGCGGGCCATAAAACAAAAACAATGAGTTGAAAGATGTCTAAAAAACTCTGTAGAGTGGAGGGAAAATGCTCATTTTTGCTCTCACCCATCACTATGAGCGATCCTTTTCCCACACAAGTAGTCACATTGAAATAAAATAAAATGATGACTTCACAAACATTGATATTGTACTAACTGTAAACTGTACTGAAGAGAAGACTAGCAAAAGTAGTTCTAAAAAAAATCCTGCCATAGCTATCATACAGTTGGACACTGATATAATCAAATCCATTTCCATGGACATAAACACAGCACCTGTCTTTCCTTTACTTTACAGGAGGAGCAGGGAGCCACAAACACAAGTTGGAGCAGGTATTCCTGAAATGACTGACAGCTGATCTGAGGTGGAGCAAGGTTAAGTTAAGCTCAGAGGCAAAAGCTCTGGAGATGATCCAACCAAATTAATAGAAAAGAGCAGTAACACTGTGGGCTGTATCATATAGTATTTCAGTATTGAAAAATAGCTCAATTTCAAATTAAATCTCTGCACTCACACTCACTTCTAGCTAAAGTCAATGGAATATTGAGCTACACACATCAGACGTTTTTCCTCCCCACACTGTAGAGGACAGGTTTGTCACATTTGTGTTGTTTAATTAGTGACATTAGTGCAACCAAACTAGACTAGTCCACAGCAAGGCAAAGAGAACAACTACTTGGCAAAATCAGGATGTGCTCGCCATCTTCAGCATGCTGACATTTGACATTAACCATGAAGAACAACTGAAACTGCTGAGAATGTCATTAGTTTTGCAGGTATTCCATCACAAACCAAAGTACAGGACCAATTAAAATTCTGCCCTGAGGATGCCGCTAAATGAAAAGTCACAATTCATCCTGGGGGGCTCGTGAATGTCAGTACCACATTTCATGAGATTCCATCCAGGAGATATTTCAGTTTGGACAAAAGTGTCCAAGGTTTATTGAGTCTTTCAAAGTCATTCATTATTCTCACTAGGGTCATAACTTAGCAAACTAGTTTGCTAATCAGTGTTTTCTAATTAGGGTTATATTAACTAAGAATGTGTTCGACAGTTTGGAAAAAGCAAATGTCAAGTGTCTGACATAATTTCCTCCACACCTCCTGCAAAGTCAAAGCACAACAAAAGGCTACAGACCAAATCTGGCCAAACACTTCCACTTTTAACTGTAAATGTTTAGTAGAATTAAAAAGAAAATTGTCAGGATTTGACCCTTGCAGTCATTTTGATTACATTTTCCACAGCTGATTACTTAAGGGCAAGCTACTCACTTGATAGCTGTGTTTTGTTGCCTTTGCTACCATGTCACTGTTTCCACTCAGTCACCATTACATAAAATCATCTAATCCTCTTAACAACATTAGTCTGCTCTTATAACTGTTGTTTAGATCACACTGTTAATGCCTTTAGAAAACTGCCTTTCTGCTTCTAGCCATACCTTTAGATTTAGATTTCTTTTCTTTGGCAGAACTTTCAGACGGAGAACTGTCTTTTGTTGTCTTTTTCTTAGTCTTCTTTTTGAGGGTGTCTTCATCATCGTCATCATCATCGTCATCATCTGTGCCCGAACCTAAAAAGATGGAAAACATACTCATTAGTTTGCTTTTTTTCAGGGTTTATTTACAAAATACTTAATTAAGATATTATTGGTGTGTAATTTAATTCACGTTAAGTCTTAAAGGTTTAAACACATGACCAATGACGCACCTTTCTTCTTTTTTGGAGCACTTTTGGCTTTCTTTTTTGGCTCTTTCTCTTTTTCTTTTTCCTTTTCTGGTTCTTCTTTATCTTTTTCTGGTTTCTTTTTCTTCACCTTCTTTCCATCTGTAATGTTGATAAGGAATTGTCAGTGTAACCATCTCATTAGATCACAGTAGAGACAGAGAAGCATGCAAATGTTACACTTTGTCATCTGCTTTCTTCACAGGAAATGCTTAAAATATCACAAGTCTCTATAAAGTTTCTCACTTTGGATGGCAGGATTTTCCTCTTCTGATAAATCTTCACTTTTCTTGGTCTTTGTTTTTTTGGGCTTGGTTTCTTTTCCATTCAACTTGGCTTCCGTTGTGCCATTTGCCTCCTCTTTCTTCTTCTTTGGCTTCTATGGATTTTCTTTAAAGATTATAAAAAAAGATTAGAGCTGACTCATAGAAGGAAGGACAGGAGAGTAGAGAAAAGAAGCCAAAGACTGGACACAATAAAAACTGGGAGACAGAAAAAAGTAAAAAATCTTGGAGCATTCAAAGATCTTTATCAATAACAATAACTCACCAATACAAAGTCAGATGTGAAGCAAGGGGTAGAAAAGATAAAAGAAGATTTAGAAGAACTATAATCACTAGATTACTCCTTCTACAGCTAATAAGAATGCCTGAAAATCGTATATAGTATATAGTAGAATAGTATAGTTTATAAATTTAAATTCAACGGTTGACATTCAATCTCAGTTCTGCAATAGAGAATAATAAATAGGTTAAGCTTTTGACAAAGCTGTATGTTAAGTTGCTGATATCGGCTTATGGTTTAGGTACAGGAAGTGAATGAAGCCACGCAGCATGAGGTAGCAACAGTGATACTATGCATACCTGCATTTTCTAGAATCGATTAATCTATTACTATTTTTGATAATACAGTTTTGTAACACACAAAAAAACAAAACAAGTTTTGTAACCCTTTTATGTAACTAGCTCAGGCCTCCTCCTGGGTACTAACAAACCCTAAATTAACATCCCAGTCACAGTAAATTACAAACACACTTCACACACTTTGGAGAACACAAGATAGCAAATCTTTTACTTTATGAAAGAAATGAATGAACCACTGAGGAGACTATAAGGAGTCAAAAAGTGTAAACAAAAGCAAATTATTTTAAGGTTAGCTTAATATAAATGTACTGACTCTTTCTTGTCTGATGTATTTAAAATAAAAAACATGTTCCCGCATATTTTGTCTAAATGTACATAATCATAAGTCTCCAATTTGCTGTTCTTTCCTGCAATATAAGCTTTCATCTTGGCCGAAAGACACAAGCTTTGTCCCCACACAACCGTCCTTTTACGTGTTTTTACATGCATTTGTCTGTATGACGATTTTTGTATACCAGAAATTTCAAATATATAAATGTTTTAGCAAATAAAAAGGGAACCAACTTGTGTTTTTACCAAATATTTAATAAGTGTGAGGAGGCTGATGACTAAACCTTTGTATAAAGTGACAGGAACAACGTGTCACTGTCTCGAGTCACAGAGAAGGAGGTCAGTGTGATTGCGGCCAGCGGAGACAGTAAAGGTAATCCTATTAGATGTAGATCCTGCATCGATGGAAGTCTATTTATGTCCACAACTCAGAGAAGATTTTTGAAATGAAGTGTTGTGTTTAAAGTGTCTTTCTCTACCCAATTTAGCATATGTATCTATTATACTATTAAAAAGGCTAGTTTATTTATTTTTTTCTTTTCTTTGTTAATTTCTGTCCGCTGTACTCAAAACTTAAAAAAAAAAAAAAATTAAAACAATGTATCTGAAATTATCAGTATCAGTTATTGCAATTCACTGAGAAGATTTGAATTTAATGAACAGATAATTACTCCAATATAGTGTAAAACATACATTTGACAATGCAAGATTTGCTTGACTATTAGATAAAAAAGTTGATGAATTGCTGATTCATATGTAAATACCCCCCCAAAAAACTTTCATAGTCAACAGAATAGACATTAAAGAAGGAAATGGCATAAGGAAGGACATGCTGTTACAGTTGCATTTGGTTTGGACATCACCACAGTAGAACTGTTTATGGTTTGAGTGACTGGGATTACTGACTGCCTCCAATCCCCCTTGCATGCTTTTGCAGATGCATTGCTCAGCAGATGAGCTCCAAAAGCCTGGACATCGTCAATCAAGGTGCAATTTAATGAAAGATATGAATGCAGTCCATGCTGTAGCTGCATTGAGGGATACTTTCCAGTTTTGAAGTCACACCTGAATATTGTTTTTGTTGGTAAGTTGTGTGTGTGTTCCTCTTTCTTTCTTTCTTTCTTTCTCTTTCTTTCTTTCTTTCTTTGTGTCCCCTTCCAGGTCTCCAGGGTGTCGTACAGCTAAGGTCCCACTTGGTGACCTGAACTTGTTCAATGTCTTCCTGGATCCACATTCTTTACATACATTTTATAATCTAACTGTATCAGAAATGTTGGAATTTGTCTATACTGTGTTTTTGCTGCTCTGCTCTGAACACACCACATCTATTGCATGTCTTATCCCTTTCTGCTCTTCCTGAAGTTTCTTTATTTTTTCCCCTGTTAAAATGTTTTTCGGGGGAGTTTTTCCTAATCTGAATCAAGGGTGTAAAGGAAAACCTCTAAGGTGATTTGTGATTTTGAGCTATATAAATACATTTTCGATTAATTTGACTTGGATAACCAATAATGTTATACTTCCTATGCTGGCATTTGTATACAGAGCAGTTACCTCACATGTGGGTCAGAGATTATTTTATTTGTAATGATTCTTCCAAATGTCTTTGATTTAGAATTAAGTAAGTATTCTACATCACAAACTAAACACAAAGCAGGGTTACTTGACACTTATTTAAGTAACCTTTGTTATGCCATAGGTCTCACCCTCGAAATATCATCACACGTCATCACCAGGCATCTGAATGAACCCTGAGAAGTAATCTTATTTTAAAGTCATTAAAAAAAAAAAAATCCACAAAACCACAACCCCACCCTTTTACCTTCTCTGCAGACATGGCGTGGCCTCCGACTTCAGCTCTACCACTGCTTCTTTTAGAGGTTAGGAAATAAAAAAGCAGGCTTCTCAGCGGCGATAATGAAAGAGCGAGAAAGCCCTATACTCACTGCGTCTCCATCAGCAGAAAGTTGTTAATAGGATTTATGTGTAAAGCCATCTGCTGTGTAGAAACACGTCAATGGGAGAAACCAACAAAGGCTCGGGCAGAGGGAGAAGATTTGTTTATCGTGTGTGCACTCTCCAGAGACCTAAAACTAATTTTTGCGTCTAGACTATCAGCAGTCACAAAATGTTTTTTTTTTTTCCCACTTCACACTTATTGTAGTGTGAGTCAGACTGCCAGTAGTATCTGTACCTAGAATCTAACGTCTTTGTTCACTGTCTCTCAAGTTTCAGTGTGATTTCCTATTTTTTTAAACTTCAATTTAAATAAAAGATTTACTTGAACTTGAGGGACTGAAGCAGAATCCTCATCCTCTTGAATCCTGAGGCAAAAACAATGATAAATTTGTGTTAGTAACAAAATGTAATTATAATGTAATGACATTAGTAACTGTAATTCATTATTAAAGCAATTCTTGGATTTATTGCTGTTTGGTCATTTTGCTGTCAACAACATACTTTTCCTAAAAATAAGTATTTTGTTTTTAACAGTATATGATCACATGTGTTATCTGGACCAAGGCTTTACCTAATGATTATTTTCATTATCAATTTACCTATTATTATTATTATTTTCTGGATTCATCCATGAATAATGTTATACATAAAATGTATAATAACTCTTAAAGACATATTTATACTGTTTGTTTTGTTCAACTAACAGTCTAAAACCCAAAGATATTTTGTTTTAATACCATAGAAAAAGAAAAAACATTTGAATTTTTGGCTTTTTTGCATAAAAAAGTATTACTGATTACCGGTTGTAATAAAAAGTTGCTGATTCATTTGATTAATCAATTAATTGTGACATCTCTAACATTTGGATTTTTGGATTACATACCCATTCCTCTATCAAGCCACATTCACTATTCATTCATTCATTCATTCAAGGATCTATGTGATAGTTAAGCACTGTGTCCATATTTTGGCAGCCAGCTGCCAAAAAGGCGTAAAAAGCTTCTCATGTTACAAGTGCGCTCTGTGGTACAGTGTCATTCTTACATTAACAGGTCACACAGGGTATGGGACTAAGTTGGTTTTCCTGACAGCAACGATTAAACCTTTCCCTTGATACTTGGTTTAGCACCACTTGGCTACGAACAGAGGAAACTGGGTGTGTTAAATCAGTATAAAACATTTGGAAAACAACAGGTAGGAATAATGGAAGGCACGAGGAAGATATCTAACACATAGATGGCCTCATGAAAAAAAACCCGCTTGGATCACACATACATTTGCAAAGTTCTGTGTTGATGTGTCATAATGCTGACATACCTGTCCTGTGTCCACGCCTCTTTCACGATGTGATTGTGGAGGGGCATGGCTGATGTGCAAAGAGGTTACATGCAGATTTTGGTCAAAGGGAGTGTATTAACAGAAGGATATCCAATGCAAATCACTGAATTTAAACCTGTGTGTAAAGGTCTGTCAGTATGAACATAAAAACATGCATGAGTATAATCTCTCACCAATGTAGTGGTTTTTCCAGACAGCAGTGGGATTGTTTCTATCCAGCTTGTGAATGCCCACAATGCTCCACACACATCCTGTAGCCCACAAAGGGGTCACATGACGCAAGTTCTAAGAGGATTTTTAACAAAGCAATAGGTCCCCCCATCGACTACTACATAACCAGGATGCCCGACCCTTCAACTGGGATTACTCTAATCAGCTACTCACCATCTGTGAGCATTTCTAGGAGTTTCACAGAAAAGCTGTGGAGATTTCCAAGAACAAGAAATATGGCACGTGGACAGATTCACTTTACTGGGGGAAAGTAAAACAGATTCATGTTAAACAAAAGAGTTATGGTTTTAATTAAAACTTAATAATTAAAAGGTGTGTATAACTAAACCAGGATAAAAGTGCATTATCAAGACCCTTGGAACTAGAGAGGATGGTTTATGGCCAGAAAGTCTTATTTGAATTCCAGACAGGCTGGTAAAATCCTGGTATAAAGGTGGAAAAAGTGGAGAAGAAAGGTTCAATTCACTTTGACAGCCACAGGAAAGATGTCTTTAATAATATAATCTCCATTTGCTCCAGTGGAACAGCTGCCTGTATTTAACGTGTGAAATGTGAGCGTGAAGCACAGTGATGCTAAAAATATGGCATGTGAATTTCTCTAACTCAACAGTTTTAAAAAAGAAGCATCAATATAGTAGAGTACAAATAAAGTGTGATTTCCTCAGTCAGCCACCAGATGCTGCTGTACCCCAAGAGACAAAAAACAATGCAAGAAGCAGCTGTGAGGCACCAGGGGGCACATGGAGATACTGTAATTTAATTCATGCTTACATTTTTTTTAAATGACTGACTAAACCTCAACAGTAATATTTTAAATAGTTAAAAAATATAATTACCCATCGTAAAGATGTTTTTTCTATGACCTCAAACCCTATCTCAGACCTGTCTGGTTACAGTCTCAGAGCTCACAAGGGGAGATGGGAGGAGAGTAACAACAGCTAAAGTGAGCAATAACACATGTGATAGGAAATAAAGAAGGAAAACTAATGTGTTTTGTAGTTTTATAAGTCCAGACTCTTTGTCTCTGTGCATCACAGTGCTGCTCACGCTGTCCAGTCTGCTGACTGGTGAAAAGGGTCTAGACTAATGGCTTTGCTGGCATTTCTGCAAACGCTTGACAGTAACATGGCAGTTGGCAGGCAGCCTAAGGAAGGCCAGCGACCTCAAGGGAGCAGTGGAGAAGCCATCAAGATCTTAAAGAGACAGAAACTACAGTGAATTTCTCACCATACACTGTGTTTTCAATCCATTTTCATGTCAGTTGTGTTTTATTACTGCGAGCAAGATGGTAAACATTGTTGAAGCAATGAGAAGCAGCAGGGGTGTACCAGAGAGGCTGTAAAATCAGCTCTTACTATACCAACAACTGTAACAACAAGCCTGAATGAAATGAAAACACATCAATCAAAGTTATGGTGAAACAGGGACCATTCAAAGAAGTTGTGCAAACACTAAGCAAGGAAGAATTATGTTAAATACATAAAGGTAGAGCTTCCAGTGGCAGTGACCTGTGTTTGAGGAGGGAGTACGATGATGATATTTTAGTTTATCCATGGGTTCAGTGCTGAAACAGCACGTTGTTGAGGACGTGAACCCAATGGCACTGTAAAGCCAGGTGAATCATCAACTCAGATAGGGCCCATATCTCAGGAAGGACAAACAATGAAGACGAAACAGGAAAATTAGGGGTAAATGAATCTATCCCCAAAGGAAGGATTGTTCAAGGAATGTGACAATGGCAGGAGGTCTTGTCAATTCATTAGAAATGGAAAGATGCTATTCAGGAGCAAAAATAGTCTCTTGGGCTGTAGATAAAATGGAACTCACACTGTTGATTCAGGTCACATCCTGAAAAGTGGAGGGACAAGTTTACTATTCTTAGATTCATGGTGCGGAAAAACAGTATACATTTTTGCCTGAGGGTGGCGCCAGAGGGAAATGTGGTTTTCAAATCAAAAAGGGTGTGACATTAACAGTCTTCATTAGCTGTGGTTTGTTCACATCAGCTAAGCTGATGTTAATAATGTAAACATTCGCTAACATTAACATGTAATAGCATCACCACGAAAAGTCAGGCACCATAAATGTCCTCTTGGGGACCACGCATGCCTGGTTCATATTTACTGTATACATATATTACCATAGATATTTTACTCTAGACCAAATTTCAGGCCTTTACAACAATTTACATGAGTAATGTAATGCCTAAATCAAATGACTGCACTTATACTTATTGTATTTGTCATCCTCCTGGAGGGTTCCCAGGTTTTCCACGTTGTAAACCTGTATTAGAATTTTCTGCTGCTGTTTCAAGAGCTAAGATATCACGTTTCTATTCCTCTCAACACAAAATGATCTCTTTATTTGTACACGTGTGGTCCTCACCGGACCACCAGGGCTGGTTTGGTGAGAGGATAAGAGACAATGCTAAAACAAAAGTTCCCCATGAAGGCTCGAGCAGCAATGTGCCAAATCTAATAAAGAGCGAATTCAGAACATTCCTTCACTCACTCTTTTACTTGTTAATAAAATCTTCCCTGCAAGATAAAAGGGGATCATATTATGGCTATACAACACATAGTGCATTACGTGCCCCTACTGACCCATATAGAGAAAAATGGCAGGAGAGGCCATTGAAACACACAATGATGTGCACAATGAAAAGTCAGTGATGATGGCATCACTGTTTTATTGTAAGCAAAAGAGTCCTCAGGCAATGACACCATAGAGACCGTTAAGCCCAACAATCAACAACAACAACAATCTTCAAAAGTACACCATCATAGGTCCAGATGCACACAGATGTGCAGGTGAATGCACTGCAAATATGAACGCACGCTGTCACACATATGCACACATGATGTTAAGCAGGCGTGTGACTGATGAGCTGCACAAGAGCGTATTGGTAATCTGAGGATTTTAGTATAGATATATGGACAGTTTTCACATCATTTATTGTACCAAACAGCTGGAAGAGCATTATTCACATAACATTCTGTTTTTGGCAGCTTTTTGCATGTACAGTATGCTGCTTACTGCAAATTCCAAAGACAACTTTTTACAGCCTTGGAGAAGAAGCAGTTGTTTCTCATAAATTGTACAGCTTACAGTGGGCTATGTGGACTTTACACCCTGCCCATTGTGTTGACAACTGTGTGAAGGTTCACTGTGTTTCTGGAGTACAGTAACAGTAGTTTACAACAGATAAGAAAGACTGACTTTCTCTGATTTCAAAATGTTTACATCATTTTTGGCATTTTCTTTTAACATGATTTCAGTTTGTACTGTAAGTGGCGAAATGTCTCAGAAAACTGTGTAATCCATATAACACCTGCACCTGCAGCGGCTTTACAATAAAGAAAGCACACTATAAGAGGGAGGGCTTTACCTTAACCTACTTTCGTGCACTTTCTATCATTGAGCATTATTTGTCAAAACTATTCAGTGTAAATAGAAAAAAAAAAACAAGGCCAAAGAAATGTATTTGGACCATTATAAAGTGTTTTAAAGAAAGCTACATGGAAGAATCCCTGAGCTACTCAGAGCAGAAATAAAAGCAAAGCAGGCAGAATCTTGTGTGTACTGTAACACAAGCAGCGCTGAGCCTCGTGAGAGCTTGACATACATCTGAAATGGAGGACAAAGTATCCAGGAAATAGTGCTGTAGCTTGCATTTCCTATTCTCCGGGTGTCTGTGATACAGACCAGCCTCCCTGGAGCGATCCACATTACCGTGGATCTCTAACCGATGAACAACTGGGCTGTCCTGAGCTGGCATTACACTGAGAGCAGAGAGTAAAAGTCCTGAGAGCGGTCACTGCCCCGAGTCCCTGAGAGAGGGGTGGCGGGAGAGAGAGTGCAAAGAGCCAGCACTCCCCTCAGAGACTTGTCCCCTCCGTTTTTCTGAAACAGGCAGTGCTCTTTTGAAACGGTGCCAATGGAGGCTGGCCCAAGCCCTTGCAGCTGAAACTTTTACAAGCTCAGTGTTCGCAAGCAGGAAGAGAAAGACAGAGTTGAGATTTGTAAAGGGAATTTGCAGCTTCTCTCCTCTTCTTCGACCTGCCTGAGATTTCAGCACACTGATCCATGTTTGCTTTTTTTGTTCATTTAAACTACAAATTCTTCAAGAGTGTGCACAGAAACGACGTGGAAATACTGCATGAAGAGAGACGAAGGATTTAAAGTGTATTTAGGGAAATAATTGCTTAAAAAATGAAGAGTATGTGACGTCACATAGAGAGCTGTCTTGGATATTGCCTGAGGAAAGATACTGGTGAGTGTCTGTGGCACTCTGGCGTCAGACACATTTGAAAATTAAAACACTGTGCACAATTCAGGACTGGCACATCGGATTGTTGTACTGTTTTTCATTTATTGGTGATGGTCCACGGGAAACATTATCTTTGGATTTGTTTGTTCCCAGATACTGACCCTTCCCTTGCCCTTATTTTCGCTTCAGAGCTGCATGACACATTTTGTTACTTGAGGATGTGTTGCGGTAAACATCCCAGACCACTCCTTTGGTATGTTATGTTGACAGTAAACACTGGTTTCCATCCACTGGTACAGTCAAATTAAATCAGTACCTCCGTGGTTGCCTTTCTTTTCTATAAACTCTGCAACAAATCTGAATAAAAACACAGGCAGGTGCAGAACAACTAAAGACGTCCGGAGTGACTACCGAAAATGGGAACTGTGAGGCATGTACAACCTGGGAATCATGCCAAATGCTGACAAAAGGCTTTACTGCACGGTTCTGAGCGAAGCCTTTAACTCATTTGCTCTGAAATGCTTCAGGAATATCTGGCAGCGAACTGTTTGGCCAACTGTAGATAAATCTGTCAAACCTTTTGGCTTTGTTACAAGGCAGCATGTAAGTACTCACATCTGATTCCTTTACCCGAGCTTATTTCTCTGTCTGTCTCTCTCTGTTTTTACCCCTCACCCCCTCCACCCTCCAGCCCCTAACCTTACAGTCAAGTGAGATGTCTATCTGATGACACATAATCTACAGTTCATGCGACTGCTCCCCTTTGTGTGGCGAGTCAACTCTGTGGCTTCACCTCATGCCAAATTCAGTCTACTTTTATACATATTCCAGGTGGACTTCATATCTTTAGTAGGAGCGTGTAAGCACAATTTTGTGCCTTCATGATTACTTTTCCTGCCTCCCTTTCTCCTTGCTGTCTCTCCCTCTTGGCAGCAGGGCAAAAGTGGGCAGGGAGAGAGGAGGGCATGGCCCAGAAACTGCTCTCAAGCCCCAGCCCCTGTTCAAGTGGGGTTGCTTGCTGGTACACTACTCAGCCTTTCTCTCGTCTTGCAGGCTAAAGAGAGGGATGTGGAAATGCATTCTTGTCTCATTTCTAACCCACCTTTTTTTCCGCCGCCACCAGGGCCTAATTCTCTGCGGGTGAACACTAGCCTGACCTGTACAAAAAAAAAACTCTCCACCAGGTATTTCTCATTTTTGATTCTGCTTCTGTTTGGGCCTTGATATTTCTTTTAAGTATCCCTTTATTCATTTCTGTTGCACTTTTACACTTCTTTTACTATCACCTTCCACACTGTACACGTGTCTGCTTTGCTTGCACCGAACACAATGTCTAAATCTCCACCGATTCTGTTCGATTGAGACCTAACGGAAATTTAGTTTTAAATAATGTCCTTTATTGGGTTAAATGCATTAAGAAATAATGACCGAAGCCTTTTTATATAGTTGCTGTAATGAGCAGTCTGTTTACATAGCACGGTTCGATAAAACACATGCCCTGAGTAAAAATAAATTTTAGTGGTTGTGTTACTGCCTCTTAACGTCCAAGGCTGTAATAAAAAGCAACATTTAAGTATAATTTACAGCAAGTCAGAGCCTAAAGACACAACAACCCCAGTGGGTTGAACAAACAAATTTCGCCCCATCAAAAGTGACAATTACCACAAAGTTTCAGGAAATTCTCAGAGATAAAAGGCACTTAGTCCTTTTAATTTAACATTTTGGTGTCTGTGTTGCAGGATTACTTCGTAGGTGCGATAATCCAGAGGCAACATAAAATATCCTTCAGCTGTACTGTGGCTACTGTTCGCAATGTATTTTACCCCAAAATGAAAAAGGATCCCACATGGATGTAATAAGCATTTTTTTTTAAAACATGCAGTTTTTAAATCATACAGGAAAATTGTATACTTTTGTTAAGTGTTCTTGAATGCTGCTGTTTGATAGACCTGTTCACAAACCAGTATGAACCAGATCCCTCTGTTGGAAGCATTGTTCTATACATGAAGGGGCTTGTATTGCATGTAAGACTGCAGGGTCTCGGTTTCAGATCGAGTCTTTCGGTTCTCGGAAGCAGTAAAGCTATAAAAAGACGTTTATAAAATTTAATTTACAAAAACAACAGCCTTCAAAGAAATATATTTTACAGATTGCACTCTTATATGAACCAGACTTATTGTGAACTGACCGTGTAAACATTTTGGCACATGCTCCTTGGTGTGCAGTTGTGTGTGGTTTTGTTTGCATACAGTCGAGTCAGCTTTTGGGTTTGAGTTTGAGTGTGTGATAACGGCAGATTATGGCATACTGTACTGTACAGATAGGGTGAAGAAAAAAAGGGGGAGGGCACAGGGAGAATGGGCAGACAGAGAGAAAATGAACTTATTTCCTCCTCCCCCACACTTATCCTCAGATGAACTCGCTATGCTGCTTGATGACATGTTGTTTGGAAAGCCATATCCTCCGCTATTTGCGTTTCTCTCCTCCCCATGGTTTGAGTGACTCTGTGGTTACCAGGATCAAAGTCTCTTTTTTTTTTTTTTTTTGTGGTTGTTGCTTTTATCAGGTCGTACTGCATACACACATTCAGCTCTTCCTGTTTGCTAGCAAAACTGATTCATGGGCTATAAACAGCATTTGATCTGACTCTTTTGACAATGGCCATTTTACATAAACTTCCACTTAAAACTGTTCTAGTTTTGAGCAAAAAGCCATGAGGGATCCAGGTTGAGAATAACATCTGGAAGGTCCAGAGCATTTCTTTTAACCTGTGTGGAATATTAGATTGGCAGGTTTCCCACGACAGAATAGAGCCACGTATGACAATAGTTCACTGAACAAACTTTCAAACACTCTCCCGTGATCGTCTAAACCTTCAGGCATTCATTGTATTGACACCAAGCTGCTAACTCTGACTAAAACAAACCATAAAAAGTACTTGCAAAGACTTTTTTCACCCTGGTCTCTTGAGAATGTCAGTGTGATTGAGATCCATCTGTAATACTTCGCTGAGTGGTTAATACAGCAGAATATGGATATGACACACCAGCCTAGAGACAGGAAACTTACACAGACTGCAACAAAAATATACACCACAAACAACAGTCTTCTAGTCTCATAGCCTCATTGCTCTAATAAAACAACAAGCATTAAACAAACCCACAATGAAGCACTTAAAACACTTTACATAACATGGACATATTTAAAAAAGACATCAGCACAAGCCTTAACAGTAGTGTAAAATGTCATTTTAGTCCAGAATCTGACATTAATGCTCAATTATCCCTCAGAATAATTAGTGTTACAGAAAACATGTAAAATAACCATATTTAAAATAATTATCGGTTTTAAAAATTATATTTTTGTGGCGGCATTGTGGAGGGTTTATTAGAATATAATAACAACTATAGTAAATAAGTTATATCAGTAGCAATTCAGATATCATGCTGAATATATTAAAAAGTATACAGTCACAGCACAACTAGTGACCATAAACACCTACAGCAGAGAACATAAGCAGTCAAGTAGCATTTTAATAGTTTTCACTAATACTTTAATGGTTGCTGTGTTACTAGGTCAAATAATACAAGCAGTGCCAAAGATTTTGATTTGAGAAGGTGAATTTGAAAACCATTTTAGTATTATTTTGCTAACCTACATGACATTTGACATGTAGGGGTACTTTATGTCTGTGCATTGTCCATTTAATGCCGTCCCATTTATTCGACAAGCATGAAGTAAAAGCAGCCGCAGTGCGTATGCTAACCGGCATTGCAACTCTGACTTTTCTTGAGATTAAGATCAAAGTCCACACCAAATATACTTAATGTCAGAGCACATGCCATTTATGAAGACTTGTCATTATCTTTTGCTAGATGTTTGACTGCCCTGAAACCAAAGCCAGTCCATCTAATAACACCCTGACATACTGTGGGGGGGGTGATTTCCTCTCCGATTACAACTAGATATTGAAATGTGTACTCTAACGTCTTAAAAGTGCTCATCTAATAAAGAAAATGTATTTTTGGATATAAAGACCAAAAAGATAACAGAGAGTAAACACAAACATGAAACTGGAAGAGTGAGTTTGTGAGGCAGAGTGTGGTAAAATGGTAAATTTCCTGCAATACGAAATTCTATGTTAAAACGGAATATTTAAAAAACTAATTTGCACCTTTTTTTCCACAGAAATAATGTTGTCACAGTCAGTTGCTGATTGGCTCTACATATTCAGATCCAGTGTATAGGCAGACTGAATAGAATTACTCCTCTGGACTCACTTTGCTAGTAGCTAATATGGAGGATAGCTCGCTTATTTGACGTCCCATTGACATTACAATCAATTTGGAAATTGCGTTTTAAATAAAGACGTCAGGACAGTTACCACAAGTGAAGATGGAGGGCAGGCTCGGCCTGAGTCGGCCAGCACAGATGGACGTAAGGTCTTGCTGATCTGAGTTTATTAAACAATGTACATCACAGACGATGAGACTCAACTGAAACCTCAGGCTCATGCAAAACATAACAACTTGTCCAACATATGGATAAAGTCTGCTCATGGAACAATGGACCTTTCTCTAGATGTGTGAACACATAGCTCACACAGCACGGATGCTGCACTGAGCATCTGGGGCAAGCTATGCCACCGTACCTTATTGTGTGGTATCATACCCCCTTCCTGACATGGCATCCTCTCATTGCTTGGCTGCCAACACTCTCCTCCCCCTCAGTGGTGGGTTCTGCCATGCCGCATCCACGACATCCCCCCCTTTTTTGTCTCATTGGAGATTCAGCTTGGCACGCAGACAATGCCTATTTCTTGGCACCAAATATTGGAGAGAGCCGCATAAGAGAACCAACCTCAGTCTTTTCCCTCACAGTCGTCCCTCGTATTCCGCTGATCATCATGGACCAACGCCGACTTGTACTGGGTATTTTTTTGTGCCTTCGTCGTCTAAATTCTCAGTTTGTTCGGTAACACGGATATCCTAAATAAGTTAAATGTTTATGTTTTATGATGAGCTGCTCTAGGCATCTCGATCTAAAGCAACAGTGAATGATTGTGTCAGCGATATGTTGATTGTTCATTTTTCTGTTGTTCTTTTGTTTTATGACTCTTACTGAAGGTCATGGATTATAACATCATTCCTTCGTTACACTCTGCAACAGAGCAGCCATTTTCCTATCATCGGCAGCTTGGGGATAGACTGTGGAAGTCAAACCATCACTTCCGGGTGTAAAAAAAAAAACAAGACAGAAAGAGGAAAAACATTTGCTTTAGTTCTTGGTTACAAACGTACCCACCAAACCATATGGATTCGTAATGGAGGTGCTAATTAGTGTTTACCTCTAACATAGCTTTTGTTAAAAAAAAAAGTTGATGCATAATCATGAACAGGATTTTTGGAAACAATCAAGGTAAGATTAACAAAAAAAAAAAAAGTACTTGTTTGCATGGCCTGGCCTGGTTGAGACATCGATTCCCTTTGTGAATCACAAGTTCTGTCTAAAATTTATAGTAGGTGTTTCGCAATCTTCAGATGAACCAGAATGGATGTTTGAAATAATTTAATGAAGCACTATGGACACTTCATTTTAAGATTGGATTATTCTGAGAAACAAATGTGGTGGTGGTGGTATGTGTGTGTTGACTGAATAGACCAGAGAAGATAAAAAGAGTGTCTTGTTATTTATTTTTATTTTTTATTTTATCATTTGGCTTTTACAATAAGATAAAAAATAATGAAAAAGCAACTTATGAGTTGTATTGCCTCTGTCTGTATTGTGGTGTAAGCTGTAAGTAATAACTGTAGATGGATAATCTGGTGTCAGTCCTGCCAATAAATGATCCCAAAAGTTATCAATGTTTCACTAGAGAACCACAAAGTAATGACCCATCACCACAACAACTTCTCTTTGTAGTCCACACAACCTTTCTTGTATAAAAAGTTGAATCCACTCCTGTTTTCCCTCCACCCCCTCTGCATTGGCCAGCCAGTTAGAAGAGTTTGATACCATTTACCATCTAATTAATTCAACATCTCAATTAAGGCCTCCCACTCTCTGATGCCCCTGTGCCTTTTCATTATGGCCTGATGAGCATGCCCTGGCACCACAGCCATACAGCCTGCCAAAACATTTCAATCACTGTCGGCATTAATTAGGCCAAAGAGGATTCAGAACGTTAATGAACGGCCCAGCCGCTTTTCAGCGACCACGGTTCACATGCTAATTTATGCAAAGCGTCCTAGACTTTGCATGGGTTGACCATCGTCGTCTACCATAACAGTGTCTGGGCTCAATCAGCTCAGCCAAAGTATGGCACTGTCGGAGCCCAGACAGCTCTGCCCAGCTTGCGTCCCAGACTCTAGCTGGCACAGTAAACAGACTCCTTTTTCAATGGACTTGAAGTGGCTTTCACACTGAGAAAAAAGGGGCCATTTTCTGAAGTCAAACCTCTTCTATTAAAACATTTCAAGCAACACCAAAAAATCACTAACAGGATTTCTTGGCATGCATTTGTGAATGAGCAACAATCAACTCTCTGAAATAATTTACGAACAAGCAATTTCCATAAGCCAGTCTCAACATACCCAACACCAGCTCATTATTTGGGGAAAAATAAAAAGTCTATCTTACGGGGAGGGGGGGATAGGGATTGGAAAGAGGAGGCAGAAGTTAACAGGTTGCACCACAGATGTTGGGTATGGGTGCCAAACAACTCCATAAAATGGCCGAGGTACAGCCATTTTCCATCATTCTTCCTTTGCTTTACATTGCTTTCTGGTTGTAGAGACTGAAGGGACAAAACTGGTAGAAGACATGCTTAAACCTGAGCAATTTTCTTTCTGTCTGTTGGGAAGGAAAGCTAGAGCGACCCAAGCAAAGTTTTAGAGTAAAAGAGACACTAATTCTTGGCACAGCTGCCCTTCATTACATGCCAATTTCCCTGGAAGTAAGAGTTTTTTACCTTGCAGGGTCGCACAGATTACCTAGCTTTCTGCGGTCACAGAAGTGTGTTTTGTCTTTAAAGCACAGGTCATTAAGAAAGCATTTCTCTTCAGTTGATAATGTACAGTGTGTCCATCACCTGTCATTTTTAAACACTGGCCAAATATATTTGTGCTGACCAATGCAAGTGGTCAGATACTGTTTATCACTTACATAAACACAGTAGTGCTGTCAGGCTGGTTGTAAGCCTGAAGAACAAAGCCTTGATTTTACGAATCAGGGTACAATATGGTGAGTCTAGAGAGGAAATTGCTCTTAGAAGGTAATTCCTGATAAAACTGTTACCAGACGACTTCATCCCATGGCAGGGGGCATAATTTGAATAATGTGGTTTCACATCACAGTTTGTGCGCATGTTTTTACATATTTTGGATGCAACTGCAGTAGTTTGCAACAAATAATTTCAATAAATGGAAATGATTTGAAAGTCTACTTAGATATGTTTTTGTTTTTGGTGTTTGAAAAGCTATTAAACACAATCTAAAATGGCTAGATGTGGTCCTTCACATCTTGGTCTCTACACAGACTAAAAATGTTTTTCCAACCATTGCTTGCCCCAGGTGAATCTAAAACTCACTTATTCTCTCTCTATTTTTGTCTCACAGTTCGACTGACAAGTTTTCACTTCTACCTGCAAAAGTATCTGTCCTTAAGGCTGAGGTAGTAGATTGAATAGTTGTGGGGTTTGGGTCCTCCCTCTGAGATAACTATACAGTCTACTGTCTTTCCTAAGGAGACAGGTTGATCTTCTGTGATGCCGGAGCAAGTATGCACATGAGAAGCCCCATGGAGGAAGGAACTCAAGGACTAAGTGCAGTAGATTTAAGAGATCCCTCAGCTTTGAGGGTGAGATTGCTGACACAGCAGAGACTTTAGCAGACACACTGGTGGAACTGCTTTATTCTTACAACATGTATTAAAGTTGGTACATATCAAGTAAAGTCTTGTTTTTAAGGATATGCATTGGTGCCTGAAGTTGAGCCTAGCAAGGTGAGGTAGTAGGTTGTATAGTTTGTGGGATGGAGTAAATCCTACTCAGGTGATAACTATACAGTCTATTACCTTCCTTGAGAGGTACAATGAGTGCTTGGAACTCACACTGAATGAGTGGTAAAGGAGCCACGCTGATGCCATCTTGTGGTCAAAGACTATCATGACTCTGGAAATTATTTTAGCATTGGGACCTCTAATGTGTGTATCTGGGTATTTGTTCACAAAATATCCTAAAGCTCAAAGTAGCTCCTAACTGGCAGAGTTAGAAGAAACTTCTAAAATGAAGGGGTGCCGGAGTCCTAACTTTAGTTTTTAGTTTTTGGTCTTTGAGTAATTCACAAAGCATTTTAACAATAAAAGTAGGCTCTGCGTCTGACCCACTTTCACTCAGTAATGTGCTGCAGGTAATGTGTCTCATTATAACATCAGTGTTCTTTAAAAGAATAATAATAATGAATATAACATAACATAACTAAAGGTAACTTCATGGCCATAAGTCACAAGCATTCAATATTATTTAAATAAATGTAACAACATGTATCACGCTATAAACACAGTATGTAAAAAGTTAAGTTGTTTTTAACGTATAGACTTCATGGTGGGCTTGCAGAAGTTTATTTCAAAGACTACACTTTGGAAATGCATGGTTGTTTTTTTACCCAGCTAAATGTGTCATGTCACATTTAGCTGCATGGAGAGTTGCTTGAAAGTGGTGGTTTGTAAATATGCATTAACTGTCTATGGTAGGCAGGAAGTAAATACTCAGGAAAAGACTGTATTCATAAATGTTAAACAAAAGTTTTATTTGATTATGTCATTACATTACTGTATGTACAGAAAGAAATACAGATGCATTGATTATATAGATATATTCTGAAACTGAGGAAATGAAAGGGCTTGTACATCACACAACTAACCACAAACCTTTACACAGTGCCTCAGTTATAACCTGAATTTCTAAAATAAAAACTAATTCATCTTTAAATCAAACTGGTGTACTAACAACTGTTTGTTAAAATGCAACATGGTGTCTCAAGAAATACATATTTTACTCTGAGAAGCTGATGGTTTTGTGTCTTCCTTCATTGTATTCCTTCTGGATACACTACACATATCTCGTTGAATAAAAATGCGATGCACATTACCAACAGCTGTCATTTTAATAACATTAACAGGTTTCAGGTTGGATTTCCCAATTTACAGACATGGATGCATTTACGCTTTAGATTGTTTGTTAAAAATACATCAGTTTTTATGCATTGGTGATATTAAAAACACACTGACCATAAAAATATTACCATTTGTGCAATGTAATATCATCCAATGAATGACGCAATAAATGCTACGTTTTTTAAAAATTCTGAGACTAGATTACTCAACATTTTGGTCATTTTTGAGTCTGTACTTTGTGGTGTTGTTGTGTTAGACTGCCCTGTTTTGAAATGTGTGTTTTGTTTACTACCATTCACACAGAGGAACAAAATATCCTACATAGATTTCTATTAAATCCAATCAAATATAACAATGGAACAAACTACAGACAGTCTGATACGAATACAGTCTGAGCATATTAAAAAACAAAGAACTTGTTGCAGGGTTGTTGTATTGGATTATATTAGATCGTACATGTGTGACTATTTTTCTGGTCAGGTTTACACACAGTACAATGTATGTCTCCAAAGTAATGATAACAATAATGCTTCAGGTGTTTCATGTTTAAGTTTTTCTTTCACGAAAGATATAGTGAAGGTAATTTCCAAAACAGATATGCTCCCTGAAATGAATGAAGAACTGGAACTTAAACAGAAAAACAACAGTGATATGAAACTTGGTGTAAAACTAAAGCTTTTAAGACAAGTGGAAGTTACCCTTTTCCTCTGCAAAAGTTATTGCAACACACACACACACACACACACACACACACACACACACACACACACCCCACACACACGCTCATTAAAATATATGGGAGACACAAACACACAGATTTCTGAACAATAACAGATATCACACTGTACATGGCTAGATTTGTTTATAGTATTAACACACATAATATCATCTTTATCCATTAAAAGGTAGATTTCAGATTTCAATACATTTCATTTCTTTTGTCTTTCACACAATACTATTAAAATACCTAATTGTGCTCAACAGTCAATGTTCATGTTACTACTGAGATTGTTGTCTATCGACTGGCTTGTCTGAGATTCTTGATTTTCGTCTCCACATGAAATATACTCTCTCCAGATTTTCAGGTACGCTGTCTTGATCTTTTCTATTTTGAACGCATACACAACCGGGTTTACAGCTGAGTTAGCGTGAGAAAGCAGGATGCCGACATAGAAAGCTGTTACTGGTACATCATTCGGCCCACCAAAGTAAGCAATGCAGTTCATTATGTGGAGAGGGAGCCAGGACAGAGCGAACAGAGCCAAGACCAGGGACAGAGATCCTGCCAGCTGTTTCTCTTTCCTTAGGTAGTTCTGACACTGGTTTTGGAAACTGTTGCCTGGTTTCTCTCGAAGACTTCCTCGAATATTGCAGAAAATGTAGCCATACAATACAGTCATCACTGATAAAGGGATGAGGGTACAGAGAAAAAAGTTAAAGTAAACCAGGTATGACATGGGGATCACTGCTATAAACTGACAGACAATTGTAGAGTTGACCGACTTAGACAAGGTTTCCTGGTTGTACCACCCAAGCATGGGAGCAAAACTCAGTGGTACAGCAACAAGCCAACATGCAGCTACCACAAGCCAAGAATGTCTCTGTGTTACAGTCCTCTTGTACCTAAAAATAAAAACACAAATTATGATATAATCAATTGTGTGTTCCAAACATGCAGAGTACAAATAGAAATTGTAATTCATTGTAGTGATGAGAAGTAAACAATGTCCTTTTTTATAGTGCAAACCATGCAAAGGGGTCATAGGTGAGGTTAAGTGAGAATTCGGTCTAGACCTGCTCTATTTGAAAAGTGTCCTGAGATAACTTCTGTTATGAATTGGCGCTATACAAATAAAATTGAATTGAATTGAATTAAGATAAAATGGACCAATATGTAAAGCTTCAAAGCCATGCTTGGCAGTGTTATTTTACTTTTCTCTGCATAAAAAACAAATCCAGAAAAAAATCTTACCTGAGGGGGAAATACACCCGGAGGTATCGGTCCACTGCAATAGCAGTGAGAGACAAAACTGAGACTAGGGTCAACAGGATGACCACACAGCTGACGAAGAGGCAGCCATGGAATGAAGTCTTCACTCGTCGATCCACCAACACGGCCAAAGGAATGGCCACGCAGCCAACCATAAAGTCAGCCACAGCCAGACAGACAATAAGGCAGAAGGTAGGCTGATGAATGCTTTTACTGGTCCACAGTGCCAAAATAACCAGTAAATTACCAAGACAGCAGCTAACAGCAATGAGCACCTCCAACAACATGTAGATCACTTCTCCCACATCCATTGCGCTTCTTATCCGACCAATGGGTAATGGTGTTGCATGTCTCAATGTTGGTCCGAGTCTGCATGTTGTTTATCACTGATCTCAGTCTTGTGAAAACCCTTTGAGGAAGTCATAGCCTCTGGTTTCCTTTTTTTTTAAAGTGGAAATGCTTTGCATCTGAATTTTTGCAGTGCTGCATGTATTCGTGTGTCACTGTAAGGTAGCATTTAACTTTTATCTTGCAAAAGATTGTATGATGATAGGATAATAAAAGTTTATGATAAGCGCCTTCATGCTATTTCTGTCGAAATGAGACTAATTACCATACATGGCAACTAAAGGTTTACAGATAAATACTAAGCAATACTTGTGAAGAGATGCATAAACCATTAGGTCACATAAGCAGCCCAACAGCCTTCTGCATAGAAAGGTTTTGCGATTACTGACAGAAAATTGTCACAGAAGCAACTCTTCATTTTGAAATCAACACCCTGGAGCCTGAAAGGTAAGTTCACCACAACCCCACTGCAGAGACCAAGCTCAACCAGTGGCTGTAAATCTATTAGTTGATTAAAGTGTCACAGCAAGTCAAGACTGCTATTTGCATTCAATGAATGGATATTCATTTTACATCCATATGACGTATAGTTTGTTTTCTTATGAGCACTGAATGCAGTTTCAAGAAATAGACCCCGCGTTTCTCATGCACCTCATTTTTGTTTTCTCACACGTGGTGTCTAGATTAAAATATCTTAAAATATGTTGCCTTGTATCATATAAGCCTAGAATGCACTTATTTTTCTGTTACATTACTTTGAATTGAGTTTATGTCTATAATTGGCATAGATAATACATCAACCTATTTGCTTCAATTGACTTCCACAATCTTACACAGAACTACAAAAATGTACAACAAAATGACACAGTCATCACAGTTAACAACCTTTTTCACTTGCTTTTCTGGAAAAACTTACCACACAGCTGAGGCAGCCGTGGAATGAAGTCCCCACCCTTCTGCAACTTGACACAGAAAGTAAAGACTTCTCAATTGCATAATACAGTCGAATCTCGTTCTTATAATTGTTAGGCAGACAGATCAGGAGATGACTAAGGGTTGTTTACAATTTGCCCATTTATGAGAGGGTTAATTAAAAAATGTGGTTGAGTGAATACAAGCTCATAAAGTGTGAGTGGGTCACAAAGTTCACTTCCTTTATCTGCAATGGAGTATAACTAAGCTGCCATGGCAGAAAGAAAAAGATGTCCAAGTAAAGCAAATAACTTCCTCAAAATGCAGCATATATTACAAATAAAATAGAAAGCTAAATATGAGAGCGAGCTGTGATAGGAGTACCACAAGTGACTAGATGGTTCTTGCCAAAAAAGAGTTTATCAATAATTTTGGCCCATACTAACATGCAACAAAGAGGTAAACATAAAATCTAGCCACACACTGCTGGTTGTCTGGAGACCTCATGCTGACACTTCAAACAGCAATGATCAAAAGTGTGTAAAACACTTTAAGAATTAAAAATGTAAATGAAAAGTGGCTCAGTGCTCAGTGTATGGCAATCTTTAATTAACAGCACAACTGACAAAACTTGTAAAAGTGTTACTCTGAGTCACTGACAGTGTCTCTCACTCTTATATATATGTATGTGTGTGTGTGTGTGTGTGTGTGTGTGTGTGTGTGTATACATACATACATACATACATACACACACATACTGTGGCATACCGTTTAGGTTTATTTATCTTTGAATATATTGAATGAACCCTGAATATATGGAATGAACTTTGAATATATTGAATGAACCTTGAATATATTGAATGAACCTTGAATATATTGAATGAACCTTGACTGACGTCATCAAGGCACTGCTGCCATCTTGTATTTTGCTGCTGCAAGAAGTGAGAATGTGTCATTCAGCTCGGAACCTTGTGGCAGCGATACTGACCAATGAAGACCTTTTTAATCGTGGCAGGCCGACTATAACAGGCCTGGGCCCTTTCTTGTGTACGGGTGAAGATTGAGGGACTGTTGTGGGGCACTCCTGTGAGGTTGAAGGCATGCTTCTGTCAGGATTTTGCCTGATTGTATTCAAGAATTCATTCAATATATTCAAGGTTCATTCAATATATTCAAGGTTCATTCCATATATTCAAGAATTCATTCAATATATTCAAAGATTAATTTTCTAAACGGCATGTCATAACACACAGACATGTGTTTATATATATTATTGCAACAAGAGTTTCTTGAAGTGAATAAACTTGTGTTTGCCCAGTACTTTCAAACACAAAAATACTGAATATATCTTTACTGTTGCTTAATTTGGAAAAGCATGTCCTGAAGCCATAAACAAACTACATAAAGGGCTCTCTTTCGGATAAATAAATAATCAAAACATCAAACTTGGTTCATATATTAGCCAACACAATATTGAATACAGCTTAATAAATCAAAACGGACTCACCCGTTGTCTCTGCATTGCGAGCAGAACGCAGGCAAAAAAAAACAAGCTGAAATTGTCTCCAAACTTCATCAATCGAAGATCTTCAATTAACTCCATAACTCCAAATCTTTAGTCGGTTAAATCCTCAAAGATAGTCTAACACCTGAACCAAATGACTGCTGAAATGGTTTCCCTAATGTATTTTATTTTTTACCATTTCCACATATAAGCATCCACAACAGAGCGGGGGCCCGTTTCAGAAAGCAGGTTTAGTGAAAACTGAGTTAGTTAACCCTGAGATGAGGTAAACTCTGGTTTTTCGGTTTCACAAAGCAAGTTCAGCTTAACTCTGAGTCAGTTACCCTGGCAACATACTCCGTGAACCTAACCTGCTCGCTGGCTGGTTTTCTTCAACTAACCCTGAGTTTCTCCTGCTTTTCAGTTGAAGCCTGCAGACTGAAGGCAGTGGCAGACATGGCGTGTCCTTTTCTTGAAGAGCCAGTTGATATCGAGGCGCAGATTTTTATCACTCCCTGATGAGTACCTGTTTGAACGTTTCCGTTTCTCTGCATCATCAATAATTTATCTAAACAGCATTCTCAGCCCTCACATCGTTCACATGACACATCGTGGACACGCTCTCAGTTCCGACCAAATTCTTTGTATTGTACTGCGCTTTTTTTTTTTTCCAACGGCAGTTTTTTGTATAACATTGGTGATGCAGAGCATGTGTCCAAGGCAACTGTCTGTCGGGCTGTCCGAAATGTGACACTTGCACTGAAACGGCTACCATATACGTTTGTAGTGTTCCCAAGTCACAGACCCACCAGACTTCTCAAAGAAGAGTTCCACAGAATTGCAGGTATCAGTCTAAGCAATAATTAGTTTATGTCATAAAGCTTTGAGACTTGAAGCACTAATCAGTCAATTTGATATATTTTAGGGTTTCCAGGTGTGATTGGCTGCATAGATGACACCCACATTCCTATCATAGCTCCTTCAATAAATGGAGGAGATTATGTGAATAGGAGATCTGTCCACAGCATTAATGTACAGGTAGGCCTAAATAGTAGCCTTTAACATTCCAAATGAAATATACTTCAATATACAGCTAATTACTGTTCTCCACTGTGAAGATCATATGTGATGCAGCCCACATGATAAACAATGTGGAAGCGAAGTGGCCTGGGTCTGTGCATGACTCACGAATGTTTCGTGAGTCTACACTGAGTGCCAGATTTGCCCTGGCGAGTTTATATACAGTATATAGCTATATCCTATGATCAATATTTTGCTCCTTCTATTGCAACTGAAACATTAAACTGTATCTTGTATTATCATAGGAGAGTTCGATGGTTACCTACTCGGAGACAGAGGGTACCCCTGCCAGCGCTATCTGCTGACCCCTTACCCTGACCCTGAGCCTGGCCCACAGCAACACTACAACTTGGCTCACTGCAGGACGCGAGCCAGAGTGGAGATGACCATCGGGATACTCAACGCCCGGTTCCAGTACCTTGATAGGCTCAGGTCACTCCAGAAAGGGCTTGTGACATTATAGTGACATGTGTGGTTCTCCACAACATTGCCACTATTAGAGGAAAACAATGACCTACTCTTCCCCCAATGATCCAGATAATAAACAGCAGCCAATTACAAAGAACTGTAGCCTCCTGCTACAAGAAAAACCAGTGTGCCAAGTTGTGTCTAAGATGAATGGGTGGCCATTTCTGAGCGAACACTAGAAAAAGGATTAATGTACATGCCATTCATTTGAATAACTTACCTCTTATGTAGGCCCCTGTGTCCTGGGGCATGGCTGGGTCCGATGAGCTCCCCCCAGAGATGACCTCAGCAATGGGTCTACCACTGTTCTGACTGAGGGCCATCTCTTCAGCTGCTGTGAGAGGTGCACCGCCACCTGTTTCGTGGGCCTCAGCCTTTTTTCTGTTGGCTATAATAGAGGTCAAATTTAAACATATCCAGAAAACACACATTTGGAGACTTATGTATGTATAAAAGGTATTGAGGTGTTGCTTTCATATAGACAATATTAAATACTGGCAGTGTTGGGATGTTTCTTTGTTTAGCAGATTTCCCTAATTACTTAAATATATCTATCACATGTTGAATGTAGCCACTAAATGCTGTTTAAGGAGGGCAGGCTAAACAACATCACAATTGCTTGTACTTAAATTATACCTTACCTGTTTGAACTACATTTTTATATTTCATCTTTAGTTGCTGCTAAGTCCGTTTGGTGCCTGTTGGGTTGCACCTGTGCGCACAAACACACATGAAATATAATTGTTGAATAAGTGGAACATTCAAGACAAAACATTTCTTTTTTTCTCCAATTAATACTCACGCATTGACTCGGTCGCAAATTTCTGCCACGCGAGCTCCCGCTCTTTTGCTGCTGCCACAGTATTGCTTTTTTAAAAAATATATATGCTCACTTTCTGCATATGCGGTCATTAATATTTCCAACTCCACTGGGGAGAAGTAGGAGGATCGAGGCTTTTTATCACTTGTTGCCATGGTGAATCATGTTATTTGTGTTCCATTGATGAGGGCTTTTTATATCCTCATGCACGGGCTTCACTCAGGGTTACCTTGACTCAGAGTTGATTGAACTAAGTGTTATCACCTGTTCCGAAACCGAAAACTCAGAGTTTGACAGCTCAGAGTTGGTCAACCTAGAGTTAAGGTTTTAGCCCCTGGTGAGCTGCTGGCTTGACGTCACTGCACGTGTGTATCTGCATCTAAAGGGGGAGGGGGATGGGGGGTTCATATGCATGGTAACAGACACACGTTAGCTTGCCACCATTTACTTGAACTAACTCATGCCATATGGAGGACTGCAAGTGCCAAAAAAATACAAAATAAATGCTAAAATAAATAAATACATTAATATGTCATTAAATGCACCAAAATATTTATAGTAAATATTTCCACACACCTAAATACATGCATCATATTATTGAGCACACGCACGTTGTGATGTTGTTGGTAAAATCGCATAGCACCAGTGAGTGGATGTGGGTGATGGTGACTGATATTATTTGGCTCATTTAAAGTACACCCCCCTTGCTTCCACAGCCCATGTGTTCCTGTGCAGGAGTGCAGAGGGTCTGGAGCCAATGACATAAAGTTGGCAGCACCATAGAGTTGCAACACTTCACTTCTGTTGTAATCAGAAAAAGCGGAAGCAATGGAGGTCGTGGGGCAAGCATTCATTTTTAGTGTTCTCCAAACTTGCTCACTGATTAGTTAATGAAATTACTGCATTTGTTGATCATTTTAATGCATTAGCAGACCTCTCGAGGATCTAGCCAACAGTGGTATCTTATGTAGCCAGCTTTAGTTAATGTTTATCTTAACATAGCTAGTTAGATTGTAATTGCTCTTCACTAGCTACCATTACCATATGTCCACATTTATGTGTGTGTGTGACCGTGGGAATGGGGAGCAAACATGAGTGAGGTTTATTGCACCATCTAGAAAAAAAACATTTAAGTGCACAAACTAGTAATCCTGATTGAGGTTGTCAAAGATGACATTGATCCAAATTTCTATCTATTCTTCTCCATCGGAAATTGAAACAAGTTTGCTGCAAAGACGTTCATTTGTTCGTCATCTTCACTGCATTAATGTTAGGCAATACAATGGTATATGAACCTATGTGTTTGCAGCCAAAGCTGGCCAGTACTGCTGAGACAGAGTACAATGTAGCATCACAACTGTATAAATAAGCCTTTTAGGGGACAATTTAGGCTAGCCCGTCTACTAACACTCATTGTTGGATTTTACAAACCTAAACTTTGAGGTTGCTGTTGCCACTCTGGCACCTGTAACGCGCCTGTGCATCAGAGCTTAGCTTTTTCCAGCACACAAGCTGACTATATGCCCTAAAATGGCACAGAGCTAAAACAAGTCACTGAGTGATGAAGAAACTCAAGCATTAAGAAAGCTAAAAGATCTAGAGTTTTTCACAATTATGAGACTGAAGACAAGCAAATAGTAATCTTACATCCAGTGGACTAGTTCGAATGGGGCTCTTCTTCTGATACAAGTTTAAGAAGGCCAACATTTCAGTGATATACTCGTATATCTATTACTGTGCCTTTATTTGGTTAGTATATTATTAAGATTGAATTAGCAAAAGTAGTGTTTAATTTGTTCGATACCGATACTGTTTGTTACACTGAAAAAAACAACAACAACTGTGGGCTAGACAACAGATTAACTGCACAATTGTACTGCCTCTGCACTGATGAGAGGGTTTGGATGGATGGGTTGTTTTTTTCCTTATTGCCCTAATGGGTAGGTTAACCTACTAATGAGTCAGTCTCAGAAATATTCATTCACATTCATTTCCTGTTTGACATAGTGTGTGCAACAAAATAATAATTGCACCTTCATACTGTAGTTAGGTATTCAGATAAACCATCAACAGAACAAAGGGCGAGACACAAAACAAGCAACATAGAAATGCTCTCTGGCTGGTGCAAACAGGGCTATCTCATGAGTGCCATTCTCTTCACTTCAGCTTATTAATTTGAACACTCATATCCTTTTAGAAAACTGCTGAGGTTGACTGATTAGACGCAAACAGAGATGACACAGCAGTGCAGTATCATTATGAGTGAAATAAATTCTACATTAAACAGGAAAGCTCGGTGAGGATGTTGAGAATAATTTTGATAATTGGAACCGGTAATAGAAGCTTTACTGTCATGTAATCCCTGTGGCACATGTGCAGGCGGATCCCTGCAAGGCCATAATCAAATTCATTACTTCAGTTTATAGAAAATGATGTGTTGTTCAGTGCAACCAAGGGCAGTCTTCTGTAGAGAAATATTAGTGGAAGAAATTAGGATCTACATTATGTAAATAATTGATAATAATGGCAAAGTATATGTTTTTTTTAGGTTTTCTTTAAAAAGGCTAAAATAATCCTTATGTTTTGTGGGCATGCTGAAACCACTGGTTTACAATAGCAATTGATGGTACAGAAGGATGTCATTTCTTAGTCATTTGATATGAATTATTAATATAACCACACTACCACAAAGTATAGTATTTACAATCAATTGATCGAAGAGGGAAAAAAGAAACAACAAAGAAATGGGTTTCTTGAGCGTTAAACCAATATATTTAATACACCCTGCAGTATTTCATTTACAATGACTGCGTCTCCAGAAGCATTAATGCATGTAGACTCCTACTTGAGCTAATAAAGGCATGTGGGATGACAGGGGACTAATAAAACTAATCAGTATCTGCTGCTCAGAGCCTGAGATCATGGCCAATGTCCCAAAACGACATCCTGAGTCATCGCTTTCTTTTAAAAAAAAAAAGAAAAAGGAAAGTGATCAGACTGAATATATTTACAAGCAGACTTTGAATCTGCTTCCTTAAGCAACTGAAGACCATCTCAATGATTGCTTGCTCAGTGATACTTGTTGCCAAAGTCTTTTCGTGCTTGGACGGACAATTAAATTAAGTTTTTCTAAGTAATTGAACTTTTGGATCTAATTCCTCCCTGCACTTTATCCCGCAGAGTTCAAGTTACAGGGGACCAGGCCTTAGTTACTTGGAGAACAACATAAGGAGTAAGAGATGAAAACAAATAAATACTGTGACGCTAAAACATTTATGCTCTTTAACTAAATTTAAGAAACACTTCTTTAATCTATACACTAAAACGACATAACTGCTCAAAATTGACAACAGATAGAAGGCGCTTTGCTGCAGAAAAATAGAAATCCAATTAAAAGTTAAAAAGCTGTGCTGATATATGATTTTACTAATGATAATAGATGAAATAGTGACATAACCCCATTTCACTCATACATTGATGCTGTATGATTAAAGAAAAACATGAGTGCATATATGTCGGGATATGTCGGAAGAAGAACAGGAAGAGACTTCTGTCATCCAAAAGATGATGAAATCTAACAATAATCGACCTACACAGGCAAAAAGGCAAAGAGTTGGATCCAACATTTATCACAACAATAAAATATTTATATAACTGCGATTGTTTGCATTAATATTGCATGGCATTAATTCGACATTTTGGTCAACCTTTCCGTTTTCTTGACGGGAAGATTAATACCACTCTCAGATCTGTCCATTAAATATAAAGCAGCCAGAAACTGGTTAGCTTAGCTTAGCATAAAGACTGAGAGCCAGGGAAACAACTAGCCTGTAAACACATCAGCTGTCACATAGTAATATAATCTCTGCTGGATCCCTTAAATAACTAAAGAATTGTGACTAAGATAAGTTGTGATCGATTGAAAAATAAACTGTGCTATCAGTGCTGTCAGACGGACAAACTACGTAATATTGACTCAAACATATCTGTGGTATTGCATGTTCATCCACTTACACGCTGTTACGGATACATTTGTAATGTTATAAAAGCTCTCAGCTCTAATGCACATCAAGCTTAAAACCCTTATTAAAATGCATCCTGCCAGTTATTATATGAAGATCACAGCTTCTCTCAAAAACCACACACACATCTAAACACTTAATGTGACCCAAATATTACTGCAGAGGCAGAGGGTTGCTGCAGAAAGCAAAGTCCCTCCCCTTGACTTTATGACTCGTCTTTATAGACTAGAGAGTGAGTAAGAGAGAGAGTAAGGGTGTAGAAGAGTAGTGATGCACTGGTACCCGTTGCTGTGATGAGCTGGAACAACATGCTGAGGATTAATCAGCCAACGTCCCTAAATGAGCACGAGGGCCACTCATTGTTTAAATGTGGAAAAGAGAAAAAGTACAGTTCTTCAGCTAGAGAACATACATAGTGGAAGATGTTTTTGCTGAAGCAAACCCCAAAGTGGAGGCTAGAAGTTTCAACAACAAAAAATATTTTTGAGTAAAGGTAAGCAAGACCTGTGCAGAGTAAAAATGTCTTCCTCTCCTGGAATCAAGCCTCGGGAGCATGTGGACATGATGTACATCTCCATTGAGACAGCCATTGCCCTGGCGTCTGTGCTGGGGAATGTGCTGGTGGTGCTGGCTGTGTGTTTGAACCGGGATCTCCGCAACACCACTTTCTGCTTCATTGTGTCTCTGGCTGTGGCAGACATCGCTGTAGGGATTTTGGTCATCCCTCTGGCTATTATCATCAGTCTGGGATTCAGCACTCAGTTCTACACATGCCTCTTCCTCTCCTGCCTGCTGCTGATCATCACCCAGAGCTCCATCCTTTCCCTGCTGGCTATTGCCATCGACCGATATCTGCGAATCAAGATTCCCACCAGGTGAGGGACTGTTGTAAAATCAGTAGGTTGCAATTTCCTTTGAAGGGTGTCATTTGTTTTTCTCAGGATTTAGAAAAGAAAGTAGAGTTTGGTGGTTGTTTGGTGTTGGAGGATGAATGTTGTGAAGATACTGTTATGAAAAGTATTGCAGTATCTATATAGTAAGTATAGTATCTTACTGTGTACAGTAAGAATAATAAAATATTCATAAGTGAGAGCAATAGGAAGCAGAATGTGATTGCCTTTCAGGTCCATTGCAGCTTCCTTGCTAAAAAATAAACTATGATCTAAACTATTCCTGTACTGTATTGATATAATATTTATTAATTAAAGCTTGATTTCAGGAGAATTCTATTGATGCCACATTTCGCAGAATGAATCAATCCGATCAAGTCAAGTAACTTTTAGTTATATTACCCAAAATGACCAAATTGTCTTAGACAGCAGTCAGAACCAACATCTTCCTCAAAAAGCAAAAACCCTTAATTTTCTGATAATCCTACCTTCTGTGGCTCAGATGCGATAGCAGGTCATCTAGTAACTGGAGGGTCGCTGGTTCGATTCCCCTTAGGCAAAATACTGAACCAAAAAATTGCTCCTGATGGCTATGCCGTGGGTGTTTGAGTGTATGGGTGAGCTTACTATCGTGAGTACTTTGATGAACAAATTGGCACCTTGCATCGCAGCCTCTGCCATCAGTACGTTGTAAAACGCTTTGAGTGGTCAGTAGACCAGAAAAGTGCTGAAGAACAACAAGTCCATTTACCATCCATTTAAAGTTGCCTCAGGGATATTACTACAAGAACGATTGTAGTAGTACCAATAGTCTTTGGTTTTACTTTTTTATTGCTTTTAGCATTAGACAGCTAAATGTGTGCTTTTAGCTTCAGAGAGTCAATCTAGAAGAGTTGGTTCCCGGTGATGTCTGACGTGGCGCCATATATCGTTGCCTGGTTTAATGCAAATCAATGGGCTGGACATCAAAAGCTTTTAAGCAAATTAAAATGTCCTGGATAACTGACATAGGCACAGTTTGTTATGGGAATTTGGCAGTCACTCCTACTACTTTTTGTTTACAAGTTGGATCCTGACATTGAAATCTGAGGAAAAGGCTTCTTAATAATAAACTATGCACTAGAATTTGTTCAAAGAAATACTAATCCAGTATAATGTATTTATGTGATTGAAACCCCTGTCTTCATTTTTTCCCCCTAATAACCCTGCTCAGGTACAGCACCATAGTGACCCAGAGGAGGGCATATGTGGCAGTTTGTCTGTGCTGGATCCTCTCTTTCCTCACTGGATTGGTTCCAATGACTGGATGGAATAACCGTGATGCTCAGAGAAACCTCAGCATTTCCAGCGACATCGTCTGTGAATTCACTACTGTCATGAGGATGGACTACATGGTGTACTTTAATTTCTTCGGCTGGGTGGTGGTACCACTGTCCATAATGATTGCCTTGTATGCAGAGATCTTCCGGGTGATCAGGCGACAGCTTAACCGGCGTGCCGAAGCCACTTGCGATGGAGAGAGGTACTATCGGAAGGAGCTGAAGCTGGCCAAATCGCTGGCCTTGGTGGTCTTCCTTTTTGCTGTGTGTTGGCTGCCAATACACATCATGAACTGCATCAACTTCTTCTGTCCAAAATGTGATGTACCCAAGTTTGCCATGTATGTAGGCATTTTCATGTCCCATGTGAACTCAGCACTCAACCCAATGGTTTATGCATTCAGAATAAAGCGGTTTCGTGTCACGGTGATCAAGATCACTCGCCATTGCATGTTATGTAAACCCACAGAGCCCACTCCATGCCCCAGCAGCATGCCAGCCCCGACAAAGAAAGTGGATGTAAACGTGTAACAAGGGCTTGCACCACTCCTGTATACATGGTTTACAGTGAGATAGTACAGGGATTGACACTTTTGATATTTGGAATATCATCACATTAACTGACACAACAAAGCACTTCATCGAGTCATGGGACACGTTCATTTTTGACCCACTGACGCAGTTAGATTTTAAAACAATGCACAATCAGAAGGAAATTATATCAGCCTGCATTGTTCTTCTTTCACTTATTGCTTCCTAAATTGATTCATATTGAATTATAATATGTCAACATAATAAGTGATGCAACATACATGCCATGTTCAAAAGCTTGTTAGTAAATTCACCAGAATAAACATTACTTCTTCGTTTAATATGCTGGTCTTATTTCTCATTTATAGAAATTTAAATACATTCTAAACAAGACTTAGGCTACATTCACACTGCAAGCCTTAGTGCTCACTTCTGATTTACTGCTCAAGTTGGTTTTTATTTATTTGGCTGTTCACATTATTCTCTAAATGTGACCCATATCAGATTCCAGTGTGGACAGGTCACAGTTCTGAAGTAAACCGCACGACAAATGTTGATCTAAAGTGACGTAACAGTCACATGAGTTCTGATATGACCGTTCACACTGATTTGGACCACATATGATTGATGATGATATGATTTTTGCTGTTTATGAAAAAGCATATAAGCAAAAAATCAGGTTTTGTCACTTTGGCCTGCAGTGTGATCACGGAGTCTCTGTGAGAGTGCATTTAGGCACAGCTGTCTTTTGACGATGCTAACATGCTGATGCATAACAGGTATGATTTGTTTAGCATGTGAACATGCTAACATTTGATAATTAGTAAGAAAACAACATTAGTTTTGCAAATATTTGACATAAAACAAAGTAATGGACAAATTTAAAATGTTTATCTTTAACAATGTCAAACAATCAACAAAGTTAAAACAATTTATTTAGGGGAACATGACGGTCTCTTTCAAATTGCATGGCAACCCGATGTTGAGATATTTTACTGGATAAGTGAAAAGTTTGACCTGCTGGTGACGGGGATTCATAAAAGTTGTTTGGCTTCATCCACTGGGCTCCATAAATGCCTGTTCAAAATTTAATGGCAATCCATCACACAGTCATGGAGCTATTTTAATCTGAATTCTGAGAATTAATTTGCAAATGCTTACATTGGATGTTTGAGTAGTCACTTAAACAAAAGCAGAAGAGTCAAAATGGCAAGATTTATTGAGTAAGATCAATAGAGAGTACAGTGTGCTCTGAAATGTTATGTTTCACAGAAACCATTCAATATACAGACAAGTGAAAAGGCCCTGCCTGGAATACAAATTAACAATAAAGTCACTAAACTAAATGGAACAAAAGTCTGGCAACCTCAAAGCAAACCAGCCATTAGTCCTTATCACTGAATGCAGGCACCTCTTTCTGCTAATTCAGCTAGTTTAAGCCATATTTCAGTAGCTGTGGCAGAGTGTTGAAAAGGCCCTGAAGCATTGGAGTAAATTACCCACAGAGCATTATACTGAAGTGATTTATTCCAACTCTAAAGCTAAAGCTTCTGCTAAAGCGTCAGTTCTGCTTTGTCATCAGTTTGATGTACGCCGGCTTTCAGTCCATGTCACACTACTTTCAGTCACAGAACTTAATACATTAAAACAAACAGTCTAATCTGGTTTAGAAAGTATATGTTCAAATGTTTCTATCTAATGATATGTGGGTTTTGTGTTTGCTTTTTTCAGTGAGGACCAGATGTTTATTTATTTTTTTCAGATTTATGTACATCTACCTACCTATGCTGTGATCACTTGAGACTTGTGTGGTCACATGAACATGCTGTCTTTTGGAACCGTCACCCCCCCCCATCTCTCTCTCTTTCCGTCTGTCCCTCCCGCACCAACATATCAATACGTATTTTACCATCTGTCACCTTCATCCTTGTTGAGGGATTTGAAACTGCTGAGTCTAATCCCCAGCCCTCGTCTTAGTGAGGTAGGTGCATCATAAGCAACCTGGCATTTACTGCCTTCGCACCACACACACCCTTGTGGCTGGTGGCCTACTGAATGCCGAGGGGGCACAAGCATGGTGTAGGTGCGGAGACAAAAAGCCAAGAATCTCCATTTTGTGCGTGCATCTTGTCTTCATCTTTGATTAATCTTCTTGGAGGTAAGACCCTTCAAATCCATCCAAAAACAGCTGCAACTAAAATGTGTGAAGCTTCATAAGAGACATTATCTGTACTTCTTGTTTTTAGTTTTAATGCTTTTTATCATTTTAATATCATCAGATAACTGAGGAAAACTTTAATTTACTGCATCAAACCACAATAAAATGGCTGACACAGATGAAGCAGAGGGTGGCCAAGACCTGGAGGCTCCAGAGGAAGAGCTGGATGAACATGCTGCCTTGTTACATTTGGGTAAATACGGCGAAGCCCGGCGTGCGCTACCTTGGGAGCAGTGGACCTTCAGAGAAAGGGCAAACTTTTATATGGACCGCATCTTCCTCGGCTTATTGGTCATTTTTCTCGTCATGACTCTGGGAGAATGTAGCTATAAAGTGTGGTATGTGACAAACGTGAAGAAGATTGCAGTGTCTGTGGTAGATTCAGTGGTCTCTCTGTTTGACTGGCTCCTCACCCAGGAGAGACAGGAGGAGCTGTTTGAACTGTAGGTTGTCAACAAACCACTCGATTGTATTCTCACTTTTTTGTGTTTCTACAGTGTTATACACAGATGTAATATTACAAAAAAATCGGTAAAGAATAAATTTATAGCTACATCTTAACTTACAATGACTAATGGATGATTTCTGAATAATGCATTGGATGGAGATTTAATGGAAATAAATAATTTATGCAATTAACTGAATCATTTTATGTCCTACATTATACTGCACACAAGACTTATAGCATCTCCACCTTCTGGTCATAAACCTTCCTTTGTGTATTTTCCAATATCCCAGTTAACATGTTCTGTTCATGCTGATACCAGTACAACATGTATTATATATAATATAATTAAAATCGTTCCTAGTTTTATTGTCTAAAATGTAATTTTGGTATCAGAGTAGAATATGTAATATTGGTATACATTGCAAATTTGCATATTAGAAGCCACTTAAGAGACAATTAAGGGGAAATATGATGTTTCGAGAGTTAAAATAACATGCTGAAAAGGACAAATATGCAATAGTGAGTACTGTTATTTTGATTTATACATCACATTTTACTGGTAATACTTCTACATGAATGCATGTTTACACTGAGGTGCTACTTTTACTTTAATATCAGATATAAATATTTCTGCCACTGCTGTAACAGATAAAACTCAGTTTCTCACGTTTTAAAAATACTTTAAAGATTTCATTTATTTATTTGCAGATTGTAGCCAAAATATCAAAGAATTGCAAAACACACCTCAGATTTTACCATTTTACAAGTTGCTAGGTTGTCGTGTTGAATACATTCCTATTTCATGTGAAATATATTTTAAGAAAAAATACAGACTGCAGATTAAAAGAAAAGTTTCAACCAAGAAAATGAAACACATACTCTACATACATGTAGTCTTAACAGTGTTTATAGCCTATCTTCATCAGAGATTATTCTATTGCATTACTTACAACAAAATAATAAGAAAACAGATAAAACAGTTTTTTAATAACACATTATTTTATATATTTTAATAGAAAGTGTTGTAATTGAAACACTAAACACACACAGAGAGGTAGTAAATAACAGGATCAATGTGACAGATTTGTTCATCGGGTTATCACAACGCTGACGTCATCCCAAATGGACCAATGAAATCGACGCATTCCACTCTTCTACAACTTCCGGTCCCGCCTCCTTCTCTCTTCCGGATTTCCTAGCGTGACCGACGTTTCGTGTCTGTTTAGACTTAAAAGTAAGTCCCAATTTAAACAATTTAAACCGCGTGTGTGTGTGTCGGGTGGATTAATACCCCGCTGTGTTTTCAACGAGACTGTTGCTTTTAATTACCAAACAATAAAAAAAACAACAAGCGGCGGTGATGGAGGAGAAGCTGCTGTCAGAAATGGACGACAGCTGCAGGGAAACACTGGGCGCCATGCTGCCTCTCGTTACATAGAGTGTCACATACTGCAGTCGGTTTATCACAGCTGGATAAATGTTCATTAACAACTCCTAAATAGAGAAATACGATCTCGTAACGCCGGCCTGTCTTCGTTTCTGTGTGTGACTCTAGTCTGAAGCATTGTTTCAATACACAGCTAAAGATAAACTAAATACTAATTAGTGTATTCTGCAATAATTACTGTTATTTAATGCTGGAGTTTACTTCATGTACACACCACACTGTCTGTTATATGATAGGTAAAGTGGACATAAACGGTGGGGAAAGCACGTCAGCCTCCTACTGGTGGTTATAAGTACTGACGTGAGATACACAGTGGATAATTTATCAATACTATCAGAATCAGAAATACTTTATTGATTTGTTTGTTACAGTTGCTCACACAGTGTCGAAGAATAGAAATAATCAATAACACTGTCTAACACAATGTATGTAGGACAGAAATGTGTCTATAAGTACCTTTTTGTATAATATATACAATATATGATGATAATACAACAGTAGTAGTATACAATAGGTTGACTACTACATTTGGGTCTTTTTTTAGTTCAAGACTTGTGCAGGTTTGTCTAAAATATGTCTGCTGTCATACATTATAGCATAATTAGAGCTGTCAATTGAATATTGCTGGATGTAAAAGAAAAATTTATTTATGGTTGTAAACTGAATATATTTGCTTTTCGACTGTTTGTCAGACAAAATAAGAATACAATACAATCTGAATACATAAGCTTTGGCGTTTTTTGCCATTTTTATACATTTAATATTCCAAATCATCCATTGAGAAAATAATCAGCACATTAATTAATAAAGAAAATAATGAGACGCAGCCCTGTAATTAACCATTACTTCCATTACTGGTAAATCTCATGGTGAAAATGGTGACTAGAGCCCAAGTTGACTCCAACAGTTCAAAGATGTTCAGTTTACTGTAATATAAGACAGGAAAAAGCAGCAAATCCTCATCAGCTTAATGATGATTTGAAAAGCAGAAAGTAGGGCATGCTTTACAATTTAGCTTGAAAAATAATCTCAGAACTACTAATAATTCCAGCTCTAAATTATGGATAATTATGGAGCAATTTTAAAGATGTTGGTAACAGAATCAAGTAATGTCTGTTATTTGTGGTGCTTTTTAACAAGAAGAAGGAAAAGTTCCATCAGGATTTAACACACAAAAGCCTCTAAGTTGAGGCCTGGGGGTTTCGTTTTATTATTTTACTCAGACTTGACGTCAGTGTTGCATAACTTGTAAAGTCGCACACAAATTTTTCACGTGCCGTTTTGACTCTTCTTCTCTTCAACACAGAATGCGTTACGTGGCCGCTTACCTCCTGGCTGTGCTCGGTGGAAACACCAGCCCCTCTGCAAAGGACATCAAGGCCATCTTGGGCAGCGTGGGAATTGAGGCTGATGACGAACGCCTAAACAAGGTATGTTGTTTAAAAACTGTATATTATGCAATTATGAAAAACTGTTTATGATTTTGTTTCCAGCGGAGATGCTGTGTGGCTGATCTTATATTTCTCTGCAGGTCGTTAGTGAGCTGAATGGGAAAGACATCAATGAAGTCATGAACTCAGGTAAAGGCCTCTCAGTGAACATGCATTGAAGATTTCAAGATGCCATACATTGGATGGCTAAAAATAGTATTTTCCTTTTTCCACAGGCCTCTCTAAGTTAGCCTCCGTACCAGCAGGTGGCGCTGTAGCGGCTCCTGCCGCTGCTGCTGGTGGGGCCGCTGGGGCTGGGGCTGCACCTGCTGCTGGTATGTGTCATTCTTAACTGAAATTAATAAAAGGTTTTCAGTTTCTGTATGATTTAAGCTTTAAATTACATTATCATATATTAGTGCATTTTAATAGCAATATTAATACAGTGATGACGTCTTGTGTGAATCTGTAGTTGCATTTAGCAATCTGAAAGGAAAGTTGACTATTTTTGTTATCAGTGCTGCCAAATATTCTTGCTGACTTTTGTCTTCCTCTGTTTCATTTCCAGTGGAAGAGAAAAAGGAAGAGAAGAAAGAGGAATCTGAAGAGTCAGACGAAGATATGGGTTTCGGACTCTTTGACTAATCTGCCTTCTCTGTGTTTAAAAAGCAATAAAAATGTAAAAGGTTTACACACACCACATTGTCTTTTTGTCCTTTTTGTTTTAATATAGCCCTCATTATGACAAATGTGCAAAGGTAATTATTCCCAAAGGCATTACTGTTAAGTGTTCTGGAAATAAACCGTCTGGCTTTTAAGGCTTGATGTTGAAAGCCAATTTGTCGCCATCTAAAAATAGTCTAGATTGGGCAACCCGTCAGCATTAGGCAATCCAGACCCTGCATGTGGTCAGTCTGGCCTGCTGTTGGCCAGAAAACTGAAACCACATAATGGCACCAGCTTAAAGGGACAAGCAATGATCTAACTGTAAACTCAAAGGTGGCCCCACCACCACAATTCAAAACAGGACTGCTGCTGCCATACAGTTCTAGAGTTAAAGTTGTTTTCAAATCGTTGTTAAAGGTTTGTTTTACATGGGTTTCATTTTGCCTTTATTTAAACTAATAGTCGTATCATATAAATTGTATGTATACATATGTAATTAAGTTGCTCCAGACTATAACTCACGACTTTAACATTGTTAGTCCAAATGTTTTTGGTGAGGTTATTGACACACTCTTGTAAAACGGGTACAACTTCACACATTTAAAGAAGAGGTCAAGTATATGGTAATGTCCCTCACTAAACCAGGACAAGCCTGTTAGCCCACAATAGACGTTTCACACGGTAGAAATGTTGGCTTTCCAAACTCTAATAATGTAATAATGGCTGCAGTCAGGCAGCAGAACTGTCATTAATGTTATTAATTACACTTGTGCTTTACAGGTGTATGACAAGTCAAGAGTGTTGTGAAATAAGAGATGTTAGTCATCAGTCACATCACAACACATCTTTTGTTAATTCATCGTTATTCAGTTTTGATTGCATGCTCATTTAGTCATCAAACTTGTCAACACTGTTTTGTAATCTTCTGAAGATAATGGGACCATACTTTTTCCATTACCTGCTACCTTGTATGTACTCACCTGAATGTGTTAAAGTAAGCAGGTCTAGCTCTAGATATCACTATTCATGTTTTAAAGTTCTCACCAGATCTTAAAGAACAAAGACACATGAATTTCTTCACAACACCAATTAGATTTCTGTGGTCATGTCACATGGCAGTGAATCAGGACACTGGGACTGATTGTGTTGTCTGAATCTTCATCTGTCTTTGCTTCAGCCATCCTCTTTTCTCTTGTGTATGAGAGCACATGTGTTGCTTAGCGCTGTGCTGCTGGATGCACAAGAATCCCCTGTGAACCTATTAGTTCTAGCAGGATGTTACAGGGGGCTTCTGTTTTGTTGGAAAAGTTCTCCTGCCTGAGAGCCATCACTGCATACTTTCTTGCATGTATCTGACAGACTGTCACATTCCATCTAATAATTACCTGGCAGCTGGGAATCTATAATAGACCCTGTCAACAACCTTTATATCATTGTTAATATACACTCACCTCTGTTATCGATCTGCCCACACTGTGTATATGGCTGCTGCAATTATCTCCATTCCATGTTAATTTCAGTGTCAGTTACTGCAGTGCAAATGTACTTTTTTAAAAACACATGGTTGCTTTGTGCTTCAGGCTGTTGTCTTTGCAGTTCAGACAGTATGTAGTAAGACTATAAAGGTGTGGTGGGAACAAGTTCATACCTCCACCTTCTAACAACTAGCTTACTTTATCAAATACCGGATTGCTTTCCAACATTTCTGGCTTAAAATGAATCACTGTTACTGTCATGTGACCAGTGGCATAGCTGTACCAGTGGTTACCTGTTCCACTGGAGAGGGGTTTTTAGATGACCAACAAGGTAGACTTGTAGTATGAAAAAATACACATAATTTTGTGTGCCTTATGAGAGTCCCGACCCAAGGTTGCTCTAGAGCTCTGGACCACAACAGTACCATTACTAACAGCTATAAAATGGGATCCAAAAGCAACTGCAGTATTAGCCTCTAGCTGTTTGAGATTACTCAATCTATTTAGTCTTCTCTTCTAGTGGAGCCAGAGTGGATTTCTTGGAATAAAGGTTTCATACTTGATGATTAGCAAAGTTATGAAGACAAGTTCAGTAAAACCTGAGAGTGATGTATAGTTTCATAATAAAAAAAAAAACACCACAAATTAATGAGCAATTAATAAATTAAATATCTTTTATTGAATGCCAGCATTCATATTACATTTAAGTTTAGGTTCTATTTAAAAAAGTTTAAATATTTTAAAATCCTAGAACTGTAAATATATATATATATATATATTTATTGCACAGAGTCGTTTAGCTTATATACATTGTGTTTGTAAATCAATGTACGAACATTTAATTCAGTGGTGGATTTGTAAAGAAATAAAAAGCATCACATTATAGTTTCACTGTTTTAAAACTGGTCTTTTTTGTTGATCCTCCATGTGAAAGAAATCAGTCACTTGACACTTAAACACACACACTCAAAACTACCAAAGCAACTCAACTGGTTTTCCCCACAAACATCCTGTTGTGGCACAATTACACAAATATTCTAACACAAAATAGTAAAAAAAAAAAAAAAATCAAATGAAAATGGCAATTTTTTTTTTATAAGCTTAACATTAGTTTTAGGTAGTCCACTGTGTGGTTAAAAAAGGGGTGAACTTATACTTTCAACACATCTCTAACCACATGTGTGGTGCTGAGAGAAGTTGCAGAGTAAAAGTTTCACTGTTGTTTCTGCAGGGCTGCCTCTCAGCTGTCACTGTCAGAGCATGGATGATCTGAACATGACTGTAAAAGACAAAAAAAAGAGAGTTTTAAAACTATGCTACACATATTTAAACCAAACTCAAATCATTACCCTTATATATGGTTATAATAATAATATATGTTAGTAATATCACACTAAAGAACACCAAGCTACCTCTAAAGTTTACTGTAGTCTCTTTTCAACTGGTCTGGTTCTCACCTGTTGGTATTCAAATCGGTCTTGTAGGTAACGGTTCCCCAGGCCGGTAATGTGTCCTATATTCTGTTTGGAGAGCCTGGCTATCTTGGCTGTAAAGTCGTACGTTAAGGCCAACTTGACCAGCTCGGGTGCTGTTGGTGGGAGAGTGGGAGGATTGTTGGTCGGCAATGCTTCTTTCTCCACATATGCATCGGCCAACGTCTGGAAGGATGAGTACGACATCCGCTGGAAAAAGTTGCTCAGGGTGGGGTTATCTTTCAGCTGGAGGAGATAAAGAGAGGGAGGCTGTCAGTAAATACAGTATACTTTGACCTATCTGTGTTTTTACTGCTGATAAAGATGCATAATAAATGTTTTTATATATCTTATTCCAGCAGGTGATCAAACATAGATGATGTCTTGTCGAAATAATTTCTTATCAGGTAAAAAAACAATACACAGACAATAAACGCTGCCACACATTTTTCTTAAATGGTCATAAAAAAAGGTCAGGAGATGGTGAAAAATGTTACATCACAATCTACTAAAGCTCAAGGTGATGTCATCGTATTGCTTGTATGTCCAACCAACAGTCCAAATTTTAAAGACTCAGTTTACGATCACATGTAAAAGTAAAGCAACAAAATGTCACATTTAAGAAGCTGTTACTATTTATTGCTGGCTTAAATCATTGATAGATTATCAAAATAGTTAATCGACTAATAGTTTAAACATTTAAAATCCAACCAGTTTTTGTAACAAACCATGGTGCAGAGCAGTCACATGACATGCTGTGTTTCCATAGATGGCTTTATGACTCTCTAAATCTCTTCTCTTACACTTCGTTGTTATGACTATGACACCCTGTATCTGGGGCTTTCTGGGAAACAGAACATATGATGTAACTCATGCAGAGGAATAAATGGAAAAGCTACAAATAACTTACTAAATATCACAGATTGATGCCTAAAAGGGTGTTTTTTCCTTTCAATATAAAGTTGTGTCATGGAGTTTGTACTTTTTTAATTGTCTATTGGACTTTATAATACTTTTTATGGCTTATTGCTGTGTCCTTTGCTTTCATCTGAAGAATTTAAAGCAGTTATCCTGTAAGTATTTCCATATTATTCAAGGCTACACAGAGTTTCATTCAACTAATGTTCTACTCAAAACAGCGATGAATACCAACCTTGTCCTCTATGGCATCACCCTGCTGCTTTGTCAAAGCAATGATCCTGTTGATGACTTCCTCTGAGATAAAACAAAAGCAAGGGGAAGTGTAATCAATGGGCTGAACAACTCATGACGAATCAGTTTAATCAATACAGTTATAAGGATTAAATATTTGAGGATATTAAACTCTTGTGGGTTGAAAAATGCAGAACTAAAATACACAGCCAGGAGAAATGACAGCATGGACTCACTCACTACTCAAAAGTTGTTCACGTGCTGCTTATTGTCTGATGTGCATTAAATTGATTTATGTTTTATGACCACATTTTTCAAATTAAAATTTCAATTTTAAAGTATTTTAATGCTGCCATGAACTTGGCACTTCCACATTTGCGTACAGGCTTAATGAGAGTGAAGAGAGTTTTTCTCACCATCAGAAAGAGGTTGAACTTCCTCTTTCTCTTGGACCTCATGCACGATTCTTTCCAGTTCCTCTGACACTTTCTCATAGTAAGCGTACGTCGGTTCCACGCTGACGACAGCTGCAAAGCCAAAATCAATTGTCTGTGAATCTACTTCAATTTACAGCATGCAGTAAAAGTATTGTTAGTACAAGTACAGTAATATAATCCTGATTTGCACTAATTCTTGTTGCATTACAGACAGATTTTAACACTGAATCATATCATTTGTCACACACACACATTGGGTTAATCTATCAAAGTCATGTCAAGTCCTCAAACTTACCTTCAACCCGGGTGATGTCAGCAGTGATGAGATCTTTACCAGATTTTGTCAGAGAAAGCCGCTTTTTAGAGAACCTTCTTTTTAAGGATTTCCTTCTCTTAGACTTTCTTCTTTGTGAAGTGACGGGAGTTGTGGGCAGGCACATGATGGCGGCGTTAGAGGACTCTTCTGCTTGGGAGACCTCGGGGATATCTGATGGACCGTCCTCCTCTTCATCTTTCTCCTCGTTACTCTTCCGATAGAAAATACCAAATATATTTTTCCAGAATGAGGGCTTCTTGTTCTTCTTTGACTTTTTGGTGGGTTTCTCTGACTCTTCATGAAGCGTCCTGGGCTCATTCACGGGAGGTTCCACGCCAGAAAACGTACAGATTACCTCGTCGTTTATTCCCTCGGCCAAGTGGAGGGAAGGGTCACTGGAATGTCGTCTTTGCTTTCTCGGCATTGTCACCCACTTCTGTTTCCTCTGAGCCTTCCTATCAGTGCCCAGTGCCCCATCATTTAGGCTGAGGCTGCGCTTGACATACACCTCCAGCAGGCGGATTGTATCCTTGTGAGGCACAGAAATCAACTGGCCATTGTTAGGCCTTTGATTTTCTGCCTGTGTTTCCATGGCGTGACGACTACAAGAGAAAGACAACATCAGACATACGGAAGGTTAGAAGACTGCACAAATGTCTGCCATTAGTTGATGGATCAATGGACACAAACAATGCTTAGTCCCAGGTTCTCAGTTGTGAGGATTTGCTGCTTTTATTGTCCTTATGTGATAATAAACTGAATATCTTTGGGTTTTGGACTGCAATGCAAGATTTGGGTTTTAGTAAAATACTATTTTACAAACCAAAAGATGAATCAGTTAATCCAAAAACAAAACAAAAAAACAACAACTGCAGATTACTCAATAATGAAAGTAACTAGTTCCAGTTTCCCCAAACTTTATAATGGTTGCAACTGTGAAAAAACACCCAACACAATGCTCCACAGCCCATGTTGACTTATTCAAATAGCTCGCTTGTCTGACTGACTCCAAACCAGAAGGCAGGAGGCACTGAGTATTTGCTTCTATAATGACTGAATAATAGAAAACAGTAGCTGATTAATTGCCTAATCGACATTTGAGCTTTAAACTATACTATATAATATGAATTATGTGAACCATAAAGACACCTGCATTAACTTTCACATTGCTCATGTATGTAGGTCATTGCGTTCTGACACAATTGAGAGGATAAGGAAGTGTAAAACGAGAAGAATAAGAAATATGTCAACTGTATTCGAGTCATTTAATACAACAGACTGAAGCTGCTGTGTCTATGGACTCACCTCGTTTCCTTCAGCAGCAGTAGAGTCGATGAAGCCCCCTCAGAGATCCACTGCAGGACTTATTGAATGCGACTGACTCGCAGCAGCTTTACAAAGTTGTCTCTCTCTCTCTCTCTCTCTCTCTCTCTCTCTCTGTTCATGAAGGGACTCTCCGACGTGCGTCTACCTGCATACTCCACCCCTGCTCGGACACGTCTCTGCCCTCCTTTTGTTTTTTTTTTACCTGGAGCTACCTCTCGTCATCTTTATTACAGTAAGAAAAAGTGGGCGGACTGCAAGAAAATTAAAAAAAACATCTCTTCTTCCTGGTTACACTTGAGCTCAGAGACGTCAGCATGTTTACGGTTTCGCCTTCGCTCTCGGTCCCGACGCTGGGGCCACGTTTTACAGGAAGTTTAAAGCAGAGGGTATTTCCTATAAGGGACTTGTGTTTTAGGCTTATGGTGATGCTGGCAAAATAAAATGAAGTTTGCCTTAAAGTTGTAATACCACAGTGTTAACCTATAAAAGTCCTGCATTCAAATGTTAACTTGAGTAAAAGTATTAACATAGAGCATCAAAGTATTCATCGCACAGAATACAGTTCAGAATACTAAATATTAATTATTGGATTATAATTATTGGTGAATTCATGTGTAAGCATGACTAATGTTGCAGCTGGTAAACGTGGTGCTGGTTTTAACTGCTTAATATATGGCTAGGTACTTCAATTAATAATAATAAATAAATAGATTTATATTTTGTTTCAATAATTCAGAATCTGAAAAGTTACTAATAACTTAAAGTCAAATAAACGTATTGAAGTAAAAAGTATGATACTGAACAGCAAATGGAAATACTCCATATACCAAATACCTCAGAACTAAGTACTTGAGTAAATGTTTGTACATCACCGTTACTGTACATGATGGATATACAGATATAAATAAGCTGTATCATATGTACGATATCACCAATGAGCATGCTCCTGAATATTTGTCCTCATACATAACAGTGGTCCATTCTCATCAAATATTGATTCATTGATTAACTTTATTATCCCCAAAGGGAAAGTGTGTGTTCATAACAGCTTCAGTAAATAATGTAGCCATATACAAGACTATTATTTTGACATAATGGTGCTGTATTGTCTATCATTAAGATAAGAAAAGATAACCCTTTATTGATCCCCTTGAGAAAGGTAGAAATAATAAGTAATAATTATATGTATATATGATAAGACTAGAATAAGAAATTAACTAAAGACTAAAGACACTATAAAAGAGCAATTAAACTCAAAATTGTAAAGCAAGCAGTACACATTATAGTACCCACAGAGTTGTACTGAAACTAGAATAGTGCAATACTTTCTCAAGCAAAGCGACATTGTGGTTAGTAGCAGTATTGGTGTGTTTTTGAAGATCCATAAATAATATTAAGTTTAAATAAAGACACCAAAGGATGCAAATCCAATTCCAATGTAAAAATTAAAAAATAAAATAAAATCTCCAAGTAGAGATTGGACTGAAAATGAGGACAAGTGGACTGACTGCACTTTAACTGGATATTTATTGTATCATTGAATTGTGTTACATTGTGGTGAGTGTTTCTAATATTTTGTCCACCCTATGTATCAATAAGGATAGACCAAACATTACTTCTCAGTTTAATACAGTAATAAAGATCTGTTATATATTGTACGAGTAACATTACAGGGACATGAGGTCCCAACATTGGGTGCAACTTTATGTTATCGATTAATTTTTCCATTCTTATGATTGATTGATTGTTTTATCTGACAATTATTGTTTATTCAAACCAAATGTCCTAAACTCAAAGATATTCAATGAGGAGCTAGAAACAGAGAATGTTTGGAGTTTTGCTTACCAAAATAGTTATATTAATTTGCTGTCGATTAACTACTTGTTTCAGTTCTAACTAATAATAATATTGATAATAATGGATTTTCCATCATTTTTAGATTATTACAGATATCCTCCTATCAGCAGTTTCTTATTTTCTTAAAAGCAAAGGCTTTAAATATTTGAATCCATGGTTGCATGACAGTTTGCACTAGGCTATTTTTATGACAGAAAACAATTCATCAGTCTTGTTAATCATTTACTACGAGCACTGTGCCTGTCAAATGACGAAGCCGACTCAGCTCAGTCTCTCCAAGATTTGCAACCATTACTTTCCCCCCCGGTTCGCAGACGTGCGTGAGCTGGGATTGGCTTAAAGCCGGAAGTGACCGTGGTCGGAGTAAAACTATTTTCATATATGGAAAAACTGCTGCTTGTTCCCTATTGACCAACAGTTTATGATCAGTGCAACTGACTTCAGTAATCTCTTATCTGGCTTATTTACAGGAAACGAGACGTTTTCTATAACTGAAAGCAGAATTTCTGGCTGGCTGCCTAGTTTGTGTTACAAGTGGTTTCAGAGTTAACAAAGCAGCTTCTTGTTGTCTGTAATGCAATGTTCAGAGAGACTATGCAGACTATAGTTTGATCATTATCAGCCTCCAGTGACCTTGTGACCCAAATCCGCATACATATCTCTTAACTTTATCTAAATGGTATTGTACTGTGAAGATATTTTCATTAATCTCAAATACAAATGACTGGTTTCCCAAATGTATCCCAATATTTAGATAGAAAGTAAATTGTAACTGTCATTTAATCAGCTTTTTGACAGCTTTAGTTGGACAAACTCCTCTCTTGTTTTCAGCGATAGATAGGACAATAAATTTGTAATGGCCCCCAGGAATTTAAAACTCTTTTTTGCCTATTTCAACCCAACATGTTTACACAAAAGCAAACAAATGAGTGAAAACCTTCCACCAGTTTGCTTTAGTGTAGTACCAACGCAAAGCCACAAGGTGTCACACTAAACACTGTGAAACAACTTCAGCCTGCTGTGTCCAACAATCTCATGTCCCCACAAGTGATCAAACATATCACTTGTGTTCCCTATAGGCAGCGGTGGATTGTAACTAAGTACAAATATGACATTCTTGTACTTTACTTGAGTATTTCCTGAGCTGCTATTTACTTTCCAGATAAAGATTTTACAGACAAAGCATATGATGAATGTATAAAATATGATGCACTGTTATAGCTCAAACTACCCAACAGTATAAAGAATAATTCAAATTAGGTCCATCACAACCAGCAACAACATACATACACATCAATAATAATTATGTAATAATAATAGAATAGTGTAACACTAACCAGGGGGTGTTTTTATGTACAATCAGTGCATCTTGTTAAACTTAAAGTGCATTTTGATGATACAGTTTTTATAGTTTTACCTGAACATATTCATTGCAGGACTTTAACATGTGATGGTGTATTTTTATATTGCAGTATTGCTACTTTTACTTAAGTAAATTATCTGAATACCTCGTCCACCACTGCTTATAGTTTAAGTGACTTTTCTAACCCACATCTCCAGGTTAATTTTGAGGTTAATAGTAACAGTACCGTTACAGTACCGTTTACAGAAATGTTACACATTTTAGTTTGTGGAGTGTGTAATCTAAGAGAAAATGTGTTGTTTTATTTAATACAATAACAACCCAGTTAATAAGCAAACACTGAAATCTAAAATTATTAAACTTTCTTTGCTATGGAAGCTTTGCCTTTGGTTCATGTACAGCAGTCTTTCCCATTGTCAGGATAATTCAGCTAATTGTCTGTGTAGTGTTATCCAGGTTCATCCTTGTAATGTACTACCACTGGATGATCATATTGCCTCTCCAATCAGTCTTTGTAAACATTTCTGGCTGCCCCAGATGTGAAGCGTAGCCTGTGGTCATTTGAAGGCAACACGTCTTCTACTGTCTGATCCCGGGTGATACTTTAGGTCACCTTCTTCATTTTTCATGGGCGTTAAGCAGGACAAATGTGAGACTCACGTTTCGTCCCACACAAGTCTGGCCATTGACCTCCAGGGCTGACGCACTGCAGCGGAGCAGTCACCGTGCAGTTACCTGTCATAAATCTTTATCTCCTTGAATCATTACTCGCCCTCTCTGTCATGAGACTCTTCTCTCCAATCTTAAAATGATAGATGGGAAAATCCAAGCAGAGCAGGACTGAGCTAACTAAGCATATTCAGATGCTGGAGAATATGGCAAAATTATTATTTACCAGTGCATACAATGTATCCTAAATGCTTGACTGATTTACCAAGATATTAATTATAATGGATTATTTGATATATTGAGAGCTGGTCATCAAAAACGCTCCTTTAAGCCACCCTGAATAATTAAAGAAGACCAAAATGTCATTTGAATAATTGAAGAGTTTTTAGGAACAAAGCCCTTCTGCCACAAACTATCAATCAGGATCACATGAGTTTCTTGTTATATCACTAAAAGAGAGTACGAGAGAGAATCTGTTAATGTGTAGCATAGTTTTATACTTCCTGGCAACAGCTGACACTTAAACACTGCCATAAACACAGACATGGAGCTGCTGAATACAGAGATTGACTGTCTGCTCTCTTTGATAACTGACATTGAATGATAAGGCTTGCAATAATTTATAATATATTTGGATAACATATTTCATGAAAAGACCAAAACCAACAAATATGTTATTCTCTCTCTATCAATACTTTCCCTGTCTGTCTGTGGGTTCCTACAATTATATATCTTTTAAAATAAGGTCACAGCTATATAAATTATTATTTTTGAAAGGCACAGTAATTTTCTAATAGATGTTTCATAAGTAAACAGTCTATTTGTTGGGGGACTATTTTCAGTTGAGTATTTGAAACAGCAGGATGATCAATGTGCGATCAAGTCAAAATAAACTACAGCCGTTGTGTAATGATGGAATAAAATGCTTTGCCTGAGTCGAAGACTGTACAGCTCATCTTGTGCTACCAGTTTCCCTCCAACACTGTAAAAATTTGCCCATGCATTTTATTTTTCATTATAGAAATATATTTTATAGGAATTAATGTTAAAAACATAACATTTTAAGAATACCAGTGTCACCCAGCGCAACAACATTCTAGCTTACTGGACAATGGAGGCCCAGAGGAATAAAATAGGTCAGGCTTTGGATGCCAACCCTGTCTCCTATAAATTACATCCATATAGTACTATTGTTTTCCCAATTATGTTGCTGACAAATGTAAACTCTGCCTGGATTATGTTCACAGGCAACCAGAGTCGCAGATAGGTTACCGGGGCGGACGGCAGGCATACAAGTGGAGGATTGTGACATCAGAGTCCAGACTCAAAATCCAGACTCCTGTCTGTAGGCAGCAAAAGAACTTTGGTTAAGTTAAAGGAAAGACTGTGGGTAAGGTAAATGTTATTAAACACACTTGTGTTCTGTATTAAACCAGACCATAATCTTTCCCTAAACTTAACCATAAAAATGTTGAATGCTGTAGTCTCTACAAGCAAATATTGAATTGCGAGATTGAATATTTGGGTGGTAAACAAATTAAATATGTTATCAATGTTAAGTTAATTAACATTTCCTGATTGGAATAGGAAAATAATTTGGCCTGCCTTACATCCCCTTCAAAAAGTATTAATACATTTAATTTCTAGGTCACAGACTATACTTGATCTTTTCATGGGATTTGAATATATCAGTTATGAGGAATAACTGAGGGAAAAAAAGATATGTTTACTGTTATAGTATTACCCGGGTGATAGTTAGTTATATTCCAGTTGATTCATTGTCTTGAAATTTGACTCAACAATATATGGGCGGATGCCTCAGTGATATCAAGGAGCAAATGAAACTAAAAATGATAAACAGAATGACTTCCTTTTTCCATTTCTGTTTTATCACACTGGGTGAGTCCACCTGTCTGTCCTTCATCCTCTCCAGTGCTGAGTGAGCAGATGGAGCGCCTCACAAGCTTAGTTTGTCTGATGCCAAAAATATGCCGCTCATTTGTCATAATGCACACTTCCCCCGTTGGTGAAGATCTTTTGCTTTTTGATTTAATCACATCAGCCCGGTAGTCAATAAAGAAGCTATAAAAGTAATGCAAAACCCATGTCTGAATGTTCTTGGTCAGCAGAGTCAGGGCACGGAATCAATGGCTCAAGTAATACTGTAGGTGAGCACAACTGGACTTTGATCAATATTAAACCCATGAGGATTGCTTTGCTACTCAATATTACACCTGCTGTGCTCCAAAGAAGCACTGTGATCGCACTTTGATCAAAAACGTGATGGCAAGGTCACTGCAGCAGTTATCCAGCTCCTGATGAAACCGTGTGCTCTGTCCTGCAACCACAAGCGTTACCGTCACTGGAAGAAACAGGAGACTTTGGAGGGATTTAATACAAACACAGGCTGCCCAGTTCCAAGTGACTTTGCCCTCTTGAGGGCATGAACTACAGTACACAGGCTGCTGTCTGTGCAGGTCTGAAATTGGCTTATAACGTGTCCACTGACAAAACAGTAACCCAATCTACTGATATGAGACTCACTGTCTGAGCTTTTCGTGTGACACCCACGCATTGTTTCCCTTAAAGCTTGGCACATCTCGTCACTGAGTTGGAGAATAAAGGAAAAAGTCATGCAACTGAGGTATTTTTAGATCCATTAAGGGTTGCAGCACAGTCTGCTGTGTCACAGTCATTGGACCATCTGCTGGTCTTTGAATGAATTTCTTGGGGTGAATCTTTATCAAAGGCAGGATGGATGTGATCTCTTCGTGGAACACCCGATGAATTATAAATGACAGTCTCACATTGGCTTTGACCTTGCCAGAGCCACCTGTCTGTTAAATGCTAAAATGCTATCAGGCCTCGTCTTTGGTTTATCACTGTAAGATCAGTGATCAGCAGGGCAGAAGGGCAGCCCGCTGACCTGACCATTAACTAGTGACAAGGCGAACAGGCCTCTGAACAGACTGCAAAAACACACCCAGTATATTTCAGCAGGAAACGGTTTTAACAGCTTCGTCTTACGGAGGAAGGAATCAGCCCAGAAAATATAAAATCCCAAGCATGGCGTATACAAAATTTGCAGAGATTGAAAGTAAGATATTGTTTTACATTTTGACAGAGAATATGTCCTTGATGTGACTGTATGAGACAGTAAAGCATCAAGTGAAACAGCCAGCTCCAAGCTGCGGAGGCCAAGATAGATAATCTTATAAATGATTCATTTGGTCTGCATATTTAATTTGGGGCTTTTGAAGCTATCACAGTGGAAGGCATTGTCAAGCTCACAGCACTAGAATTGATCCATCTAGTGCAAATAGGAAGAAAACACAAATCATGCTTGAAATCCATTTTTTTTTTAAAATGTATATCCTGAACAACAAATACTGCCCAGTATGTCAGTTTTCTATCTGTTGCATTTCTCCATGGCTTCTATTTTTAGCCATGCTGAATCCTCTTCATTTCATTATTAGATAACAGGCTTGTAATCCAGAACACACAGCGAGAAAAGTCTGCTCTTCCAGTCTTCTGTATACACCATGACATCATATATATATATATATATATATATATAACTATATATATATATATATATATATATATATAAATTAACTTGGCTCCTTTTCCCTCTTGTGATGTGACACAGTCTTAGACAGGACTCACTGGGGTGAGTTTTTGGATAGAGAGCGCTAGAGAGGAAAAGAGAGGGATGCCATCATGATATCAGTGCAGAGAAGCAGCAGTAAACAGGCGTTAATAACAGCTAACATGAGGTGATAAATGAAGTTTTATAACTAGGTTCGGGAAGAAAGACCACACCCCAAACTCATCTCATTTGCGCTCAAAACATATTTAAGCACACCTTATCCGTTCACTCCCTCCTTGACTAATTTTCTACATCCCTCCCCCCCCAATCCCCTTCTTTCTTTTCGTTTTATCTCTCTTATCCAAATACAGGAACCACTGGGGCTCACAAAGAGATAAGAGACGGTTCCCCCACTCAGCGTCTCAACACCCACTCTGTTCCTCCTGATCATCTCGCCGAACTCCTCCCTCCATCCACCTATCCTACCAGCTTTTCTCCCTTTCTATCAACCCTCACCCGTCCTTCCTATACCCCCTCATCCCTCAACCCTCAACCCTTTCCCCCATCCCTCGACACCTACCCCATCATCCCTTCATCCTTTCATCCCTGCCATCCCTCGACCCTTTCCCTCCCAGTATTCCTCATATGTTCATGACGTGTAATAACATTTTTCTTATTCCATACAGCCATTGGCGTGGTCTTTGTTAGTGAATGAGGATTCAGCCCCGAAACCATACACTGAAACTTACACCTCCATTCGTCACTATTTTTCTTGAACAGAGGAAGTTTAAAAAGTTGAAATTTGCTTGATGTTTAATCTCACAAGTGCAATCATCAGAGGGAAACTTTTCACAGTTAGAATACATGTTTAATGAAAGGCACTCTTTACAGGATAAATAAAACATTGCAAATTATGACATTGCATACTGTACAATGTTGACACATACAGTAACAGTCCTCAAATATTAAGTGCTTCATAACATAGTAAAGTGCTGAGTACCAACGTGACTAACTGATGTCACCTTATTGCATTTCATTTTAATGACATGTATTGTTCTTTCCATTGGTGGAAAATACAACGTATTTGTTTTCCACCCGCACCTCATCATTATTGCATATTGTAGGATTATTAGAAAGGCATTGATTGTGTTACAACTACATCCACTGCCATTTCTATACAAGCTGTATTTATATGTATAATAAACTCACATACAGTACATTTCGAGATTGGAATGTGGCATGCATACATAGTACCAATTCATTTTCCTGATGACACACAAATGTCATCATTTCACAGATCCAGCTTAAGTATTGGCTTTCCCTATCACATGGAATAAATTGGTCATCCCTATATGATTAAAATACTATAATATATTTAGCTACAATAAATGTGTCAAACTTTCAGTTACTGATAAAAAGAGTTAAACCTCATTTCGGCACACTATGCCATGCAATACCAACAAGAGAACAAACGTAAATGGAGAAATGTTCAGATAAAAGAGTGCAAAGTTGTTGTTTTTTGTCTTTGCCCTCTCCTTGAATCTCTCAGTCTGATCACAAATATATACCTCATCTCACATTTCTATACACTCTGATAAATGTTTTCCCTGCCAACAGCTGATGGTGTAAAGCTCTAAAAGTGCTTAAGAGATATGTGGAGAAAAAAAAAACATTCAGTGCAATGATATGGTTTTGGTTATGGTCTAAATCTGCATAATCTGGTGAAAAATGCCAAATAATAAAAATTAAACCATGTAGATAAAAATATGCTGTGATTATAAACGCTGAAACTGCTGCATGCAACTACTGCATGTACTATAATACAGTGAGTGTTAAGCAGTTTCATGGTTTTGATTAATATTCTGCAGCCTATCTACAAGTCTAATGTCAGACGAGCTAATGTGCCAGCTAATAATCACACAGATATTGTTACGCTGTGTCATATGGAGAAGTGCTGCCAGCTGAGCATTCACAACTATAGATTTGCTGATAAGACAATGTGTGCGCTGAGGTCCTCTTGCCTTACACTGGACAAATTCTGCACGACCTTGAAAGTCATGCCAAGTTCTACCTAGATTTTGCTGAATATGACAAAGTTTAGACTAACATGGAAATGTGTTGTAATATGAGCTCAGAGTATACTTCCAGTTTAAATGCTACGATTATCAAAACCGTTTTGGATTTCTTTTGTGGGATAAACTTACTGTGATACAGACGTTAAGGACATTTTGGTCAAATTTACAACTTTCTCTGCCTTTCACTTGTACAATTCTCTACAAGGACAACCTTTCTGTAGTGTAAATGAGCCATCACCCTTTTTCTTCAAATTGCACTGGATGAAAGATAATAATTGTACCTTTGAGTTCTTCTCACCAAGGTTACCTAGTAGTTGCTGAGTTGTTTTAATTGCACTTTGACACATCCACGAGCAGACAGACAACTTGTGTAAAGGCTGTCTCACTACACAGTGCCTATTAATACTGTTACAATATGCACAAATGCTGTCATGTTTGGAGTACAAAATAGTGAGAAAGATAAACTGATATCCCCCAGTGCATCTTACTACTGGATATGTTTGTCTGTCCATGTGTTCATGCCCTTGATATAAATCTTTAGTTTCTCTATCAGTGCATGCCATTTTTCTCATTCTGCCAGGTGCCGTTACTTTTGTTTAGTGAGGGTGTGCTTCCATACTTGTTTGCAGCTGACATTTTCAGGGCAGCCTCTGCCGCCGCATCCATTATCTGCTTCTCCTCCTGCTCAGTTTCACGGTGGTAAAAATAGTTAAAGTTAGAGACGATGACGGGGACGGGCAAGGCAATGGTCAGGACACCAGCAATGGCACAGAGGGTGCCGACCATTTTGCCTCCCATTGTGATGGGGCACATGTCTCCGTATCCCACAGTGGTCATTGTCACCACAGCCCACCAGAAGCCGTCAGGGATGCTAACAAACTGCGTCTGGGGCTCATCCACTTCTGCAAAGTAGATGGCACTTGAGAATAGGATGACTCCTATAAAAAGGAAGAAGATGAGCAGTCCAAGTTCCCTCATACTAGCTTTCAAAGTCTGTCCCAAGATCTGAAGACCTTTTGAGTGCCGGGAGAGCTTAAAAATTCTGAAGACTCTCACTAGACGGATGATTCTTAGGATTGCCAGGGACATGTTCTGACCAGAGTTCATATCATCATCAGGGGTTGTAGCTAACTCTGTTCCCAGGGTTACAAAGTAGGGAATTATGGAGACAATGTCAATGATATTCATGATGTTATTGAAGAAATCACTTTTGCTGGGGCACACCACAAAACGTACACCGACTTCAAAGCAGAACCAAATGATGCAAATAGTCTCCACAATGAAAAAGGGGTCCGTTATATACGCCATCACGTCTTTAGTGGCGGAATGAGGAGGAGAACTGTCTTGGGTCCCGTTGATGATTTGAGTTAAACCCGTGACAAAGTCAGTGTCATCCCTGAACTCTGGCAGAGTCTCTAGGCAGAAGATGAAGATGGAAATGACGATGACAAACACAGAAACTAGAGCTACAGATTTGGCTGCACTGGAGCTTTCTGGGTATTCAAACAGGAGCCAGAATTGTCGTTGGAGTTCATTGGTAGGCAGAAGGACCTCTGGCTCTTTGACAAACCCTTCGTCTTCACGGAACTGCTCCATCGCTTCATGACCCAACTCATAGAAAACTATTTCATTCGCAAAAACATCTAAGGGAACATTGGCTGGTCTGCGGATTCTCCCCCCTGACTGATAGTAGTACAGAATGCCATCAAAAGACGGACGATTTCGGTCAAAAAAGTACTCGTTTTTCATCGGGTCAAAGTAGCTTATCCTCTTCATGGGGTCACCGAGCAGTGTCTCTGGAAATTTATTCAGGGTGCTGATCTGTGTCTCAAACATCAAGCCTGAAATATTGATAACAACTTTCTCGTCTTTCTCTTCCATGCAATGCTTTTCAAATAAATCTTCATTCTCATAGCAATCCTTCGCCATCTTACTGAAGACGCTGTCAGTGGGAGACTCACTATTGATGAGGAGCTTCAGATTAGAGATCAAACTGGCACTGCTGGAGTTTGCTTTAGTGGTTAGAGACGGAGGACTGGACGGTGACAACCCTTCTTGACCAGACTGATGCCCACGTCGTCCTCTATGTGGCGACTGGTGGGGAGAAGTCAGACGATGGGGTAAAAGATTCTGATCGGGGGCCTCTGAGGCAGGTGAGGTCGGGTACCCGGAGTCACTCGGGTCTCCCAGGTTGATGCCGACATCATCCATGTTCTCAAAATTAACAAGCGGCACCTCCATCCCCTTTCTTGTCGCTAGCCACAGCTCTGTCTATCAGCCTGGTTCGACTGCAGGAGACAGAGGGGACACCAGAACCAGTGCCACACTGAAGATGCTGGCAGGGCCTCCCTCCTCCTGATTATCATTCAGGCAGCTGTACACAACTTTTGGATTCAGTCCTCTGTGTAATCTGTAAAAAGAGGGGGGTAAAAAAAAGCAAAGTTGAGTTATATTTTGTTAAATAGTGCAATACCATTTTGTTGGTAAAGAGATTTTTCTGTCAACTCCTGTTTGCATCAGCAGAGAACTTGCCATCTGATACTGTGCTTGTACAGTTATTTTTTTCCTCCCAATTCACTCCCATGACCTAAACGAAAACACAACGCTGCAAGTTTGGCTGTGAAAGTGCAAGGTATGGATAGCAGTATTGCTGATCATGTACTAGAAAACTGAACATGTTTAATTTCTTCATGGAAAAACATTTGAGCCTTCACTTCTGACTGAAGGCATCAAAAGAACATTTATTCCACTCAATATTTAAGTGTTTGCCAGTGTTTACCGTCTTAGTTAATCCATCCCAACCCTGTTTGAGGTAGTCTACCAGAATCACATTTACTTTATCTCTAAGTAGCTGTTTATCATTCCATTTGTCTGGTTTGGACAGGTAACCAAATCCTGACACACGCTTTTAGGCTGCAACCTTTGTGTCCACTTGACACCGAGGGCCCTGCGCACTCAGAGAGACTCATCTGGTTCTATTTCCACTTGCATTGTAGCAGATAACGTAACAGTCCAGGATATAGGATTGAATCATCTTATGTAAGGACATCATGATAGGGCTTATGCAAAAAATAAATGTATTGATTGTGCCATGTCAGCAAAGAGGGGTTACGCAGTCCAAGAGAAAGGACAATTGACGATGCAGAGAATCGAAAAGTGCTGTTAGATCTTCATCTTAAACACTTTCAATTAATTATAAAAGCAACTTCTCATTGATAAATTGCTAAAATCTTCCCATTCAACTAATTTAAACTGAGCTCACTTTAAAAGCCACAACAGATTCAATAACATCACTACCCTTATCAGACTGTACCACCAAACACACAAATACATGCAAATATATCTTTAATTAAGTGTAAAGTTAAGATCCAGCTGTTTGCAGATGTCCGCACCACTCACCCGTGTCCCCGGCTCTGTAGAAGTTGTTGTACCCTCTCTACCCTGCTTGGCAGCTCTGCTGTGCTTCCCCTTCTTTCCTTCAATCTCTCCCTCATCCAGAGTCACAATCAAGAGTGTCTCTAGCTCTATTAAAGCTCCCACTGGGTAATTTAATACCCTAAACGAAACCAGAGATGGCAGAGGTACCCACACGCACTCACAAGCGTACACATGCACACGGACACAAACACAGGCAAACAAAAACACATGTAGGAAACTCACTGTATTTTGTCTGTGGGGGTCAGCTGGCTTTTTTTTCTCCGTGCTCCCTCCTCCGTCAGTGGGATAAGTGAGGACGGTATAGGTAGCTCTCTGATAGGAGATTTACTCCGTAGGAGCCAATCGCTGTTTGATGTGAGGAAGGGAGAGTGGGACCCACTCTTTCCCCCTCTTTCCTGCAGAGTAAGCATCCACATGCAGGATCATCCAATACACCCTCACCTTGGGGATTATACTCTATTCTTCCCCTGTTACCGTACTTGTCAAAGCTTTCAATACCTGTAGAAGTGTACATCTGCCCAGGGGATTCAGCATTCTTTTGTTTACATCCTTCGTAATACTTGCTGACATGACGTGATATTTTATCTGACAACAATATTCTAATTTATTGACATTTTATACAATGACAAATGTTTTCCAAATATTTCCTGAAATCTCCATCTAACCTTTCTTTTCTCTTATAAACAGCCCTGTATATCTGTGCTAATGCAAATCCATAAAACATATGGAAAAACAAGAATTATAGGCAGTACACATGAATCAGTTTTATTGATAAATACTATTTATGGGCACACATTTCCCCTAGATGTGTTAGGTATAGATTTGTGAGAGGGTTCATAGAGTTGAGAGATAAAAGAGGGAAAAAAAAAGCCATTTTCCAAGAAAATCCTGCAGATGTGTTGGTGTTTTTTAATTTCTGTTGTCCCTGCCAACGCCACCACCTTTGCACTTGCCAGCTATTGAAGGTTTGTCAGATTAATAATGTAGCTCTCTGGCTGTGAAAAAGTGTGACAAGACTAATTAAAAGGTTAAATTCACATTAGAAAAAGGCTCCACTTCCTTTTTTTAGGTCTGAATTCTCCTGAGGAGCAAAAACTTTAATCAAAGTTAATCCTGTACTTTCTCAGAAGGGCGGCCAATTTGGCATCATAGGTTGAATATTGTATTACCTGATAGATAACCAGTTGCCTGAAGTCGGAAATCATTCCCTCATCTCACTCTCGTCCTGCTGCAGCCAGGAGTTGGCTGTCTGCAGGTCCCCTCTAACATTGCGGCGTGAGCAGCACTACTGCAGGCACATGACTTCAAGGTCACAGAAAACTGTTTTGAGACTTTACAGCCCACGCTTTGCTATACATCATCACACACCATCACCTCCAGGAATCTCATTATGGGTCCTCACAGGAACATCGTGCACATGTGCATCAGTAAATATAAACTTCACATGTTTGTACCTGAGATATATGTTTGCCCATGCACAGGCGAGTACAGGGATGCCGGGACGTGCATGTGCACAAACTCAGCTGACTGAACATGCTTCATATATGGGGATCTTTTTCTTGTGTGATCCTGCAATGTCCTGGACATGTCATTGAGATTGCAGTCAGCTGAGGTATGTCCTGCCACTTAAACACCTCATAATACAATTTGCTACAGGCAAAGACAGACAGGAAGACGGACAGTGAGGGGGCGATCATAGACTGTGCAAGTCAGACTGAGAGGGTAAATAATCGATCCATTCCCTTGCAAAACGATTAGTGTCAGTAAAAGTGGGAAAGGGGAGGTAAATGGGTGAGATAGACTGCAGCTACTGCAGTGTCACTCGTCTCGGGACTCCTGACAGAGGATAACGTCCCTCCCTCTGTCCTTCTATGCAGCCCTCGATCCATCATCCATCACTCCTCCCTCCCTGCGTCCAGCCCTCCCCCCGATGACACTGTCACCTTACCCGTTAACAGACTGTGTTGACAAAGCAGTTTCTCCATCAGCATGCTTGTGTGTGAACTATACTGACACTGCATAGGTATAAACACCTCCTGCACCTTTATATAGCTCGACTTTGAGCCATGGATGCCTGATAGGAATAGCAACATTTATTCCGGGAAAATAAATCCTACCTTCAGCACTGAAGTGAAGGAAGTATGCAGATTTTTCAGTAAAAGTAGCATTGCCATCCCACACTGTGAAAATGATTCATTACAGGTAAAAGTCAAAATGCTGCTTAAGCAAGTATTATTAAGTGTAATTAGTACCTGAAAATGTAATATGATGGTGTCATTGTGCTTTTTACTAACATAGCTTCCTCTCTTTTTATATTACATGCTGATTATCTATGTTAATAATTTTTCAAATAATAATCTTATATTCTTATGTTCCCATCTTTTGTCTGACTTTTGCCTGCAGTTGGTCCTTTCATCCAACATCTTTAGGCGTCTTTTTTTGGATGTATGGGTCTTTGGAAATAAAAAAAGTAACTAAATCTGCGGGCTACTCATCTTGTGCAGATGATCTAAGTAATTCTATCTGAAAAGACCATATGCTCATCCATTAAGGGTGACAGGATTTCAAAGTGCATGTCAGGTAGCTCGGATTAGATATTCCAGCCTGGTAATCTTATATCTGTTGTAAAGGCAGCTGGTTATTCCAGTCCAGTAATCCTACATATTGCAGCAGAGGTTCTACTCATTGCAAATAACATACAAGGTTGGGTCAGGAGCATACAAGGGCATAACGGCTACAGTATATACCACCCCCATACAGCTCAAAACACAGTGTTAGGTAATGTTAAGTGACATGTTCATTCAAAACTTCAGAGTGCCATAAGTTCATACGGATTCAGTGTTAGTGGCACTCAGTTGAGCTGCACACCCTTACAGGGTTTCTAAATCACCTGTTTGGGATCTATTGTGGGTTCAGTTGATATCTAGATGGGATCGTAAGAGGTTTTAAATACTAATGTAAGATGTTGTAATTGTTTCTAATATAACCATGTAAGAGATTTCATTCTTAATGCAACCTAAATAGTACAAATGGCAACCAAAGAGCTGTTTAAAACCATAAAAACAACTACAACCAATCCAAAACAATAATGTAAATCAGACAAATCAAGATTCTAAAATACACCTAAACATTGGCAGCAAGAAGACAGAACACCCTGTTTCTGCATCAGTGCATCAGTGATTTGAATTCACAAAAAGAGACCAGATTTAGCAGTTTTAGATCAAACTGCAGAAGGTTCCTGGCAGTGGGAGCAGTATGCAGTATGCAAAAAAGCTCTTCTACCCAGTTCAGTGTGAACGTTTGTTGCATATCATCCTGTCTCTTTCTCTCCCCTTGTTTCCTGACCTCTCTTCACCATCGCTGTCAAATAAAGGCAATAATTTCTGAAAAGAAAAATGCAACACTTAAATTCATGTGACAGACTGAAAACTGTGTGGGGTCAGAAGTCCTTTAACAATGTGTTACCTAACATATTATATACAGTATACTGTCAATAGTTCACTACAGTGACATGTGTGGAAATAACCTTAATGCAACATAGCTGGCCAAGTATTACATATGCTAAAGAATCCCACCAGATATGTTGTAATACATAAAAATAGTAAAGCACATCAACTTCTCCCTCACTATATGATCTGTAAACTATGACACAAGTCTATAAATATGCAAGTATTTTTTATTTAAAAAGTTTAACTGCTGGACACGTACTGTATGTCTCCACGGAAAAGGCCCTCATATGCGCACTGAAGGTTTCATGTTTTCACATGACACTGGCGTAAGTTACATATTGGATCTCGTTCACAAGATAAAAGGTCCAGTGTGTAGATTTAGTAATGCTTCTGTTCTGAGCGTGTAGGAGAAACTACAGTGGCTGTGAAACTTAAAAAGGCCTTATCTGGAGTCAGTGTTTGGTTAGTCTGTTTTGGGATAACATGTTGGACTGTAGAGTAGGACCAACTCCCTTTGCAGATAAAAACAGCTCATTCTGAGGTAACGAAAACACGATTCCTATTTACAGGTACATACACTAATGAAAACATACCAATGAATATTATATTCCATTTCTGGAATCTCATAAATGTTAAACACTGGACCTTGAAACTAAGATTCAAAGTGTGCACAGACAAACTTCCCACCTTCAGCAAATGAATGTGAAAACCATCTTTCTGTTTAAAACAGTGAAGGTCAAACATTCAAACAAAACACATTTTTGAGTGGAGTTGGTCTTTAAGTATTTTTATATTAAGAACATTTTTGATGGAGAGTTTTCATGTCCTCTGTGAGTGCACACTTCCCTTCATTGTTTGGACTGAGGATTTGCAGTTGATAGCCCATGCCGACTCTGAGGACAGTTACTCCACTAAGGAGATTATGCAACACAGGAGATCAGCCCGGAGAATCACCCTCATAGATGAACAGTGCGGACTAAGTACTACAGACTTAATTGAAATTTCTGGATTGTTTCCAGGCTCACTAATCAAAAGACAAGTGCTAATCTTGGTTGACTCCTTGGACCCGACAAGGTAGGGGAGGAGGCGAGTGTCCACAACAAACCAATCAGACTGCAGCCACAACATTTAACACTGCAATCCTCTGTGGTTTAAACTCACTGATTAAATAGGGTTTTTTTTAAAAACACCCATCACTTTTTTCTGTGTTTCCTCTGTTGTTAGAGCACAAAAACCGCCTTCAACCTCAACCGATAGATCCTATGAATTCACAACACACTGCAAATTCCTTCAAAGCGCTACTGCGTGCAGTGAGAAGAATCATTTTCCTTCCAGCAGTCACGTAGGGAGGATGAATGTCATACACCCACTATTTTGACATAAGCATTGCTCACCGTTGGACAGGGAGGTTCCATGGCTGCAGGGCATCCAAGCTCATCCAAAGCCTCCTGAGTTACACTGAGCCTCCTCCTCATGTTGCCATATGGCCTGTTGTAGTGTACAAAACATTATGATAGTGAGAATTGTCAGATTGAATCTTAGCTGCAGTTTTTTAACATTAAACTATGATCAGATAAAAAAAGATAAAGATATAGTCTCAAGATTTTGACAATATTATGATTACTAATAATGAAAACAACATTAATGCTTTATCCACAATCACTATGACAACAACAATTATCAGAGCAACATTTATTATTAGCTTTACTGCTTCAATTTAACAGTATCTATTTAAAAACTGTCTAAAAATCAAGGTGTCTACATTTCTCCATGTTTATTTTTTAATTTAAACTATTTAACACTGCATTAGTTAATAACACTGTATTAGTTTTAAAACGAAGCGTAAAATTGAATTTACCTTGTTATCCAGCGGTGAAAGAAGCTTGTCTAAACTCACTCACGTAGCCTCTCGGATTAAGTATCCAGTGGCAGAGTCTTAAGGAGCAGTTGTAAATCTCTGTGAGGTTTTGACAGAAGGCAGGGCAGTTACAGTTAAATACTCCATGAACAAGACAGATGTTTTCAACAACAACCTGTTTTCAAACGATTCAGTCTGGGTAACACGCAAACAAACAAATCCTCACATTGCTGCCTGTTGACGTGGGTTTTATTTCAGCTTTTAATGCAGGAAACACTTGATCTCTTTTTGTTACA